AGGTTCAAGTCGAAGTGGAAGTGGAAGTCAAGATCGAAGTCAGAGTGGGAGTCAAAGTCGGAGTCAAAGTCGAGATCGAAGTCAGAGTACAAGTTTGTAAGTATTCAAGGCTACGACGACGATTTCGATCGCAAGATTAGTGAATTAATAAGGTTGAGTTGTCAAGATCGAGGTCAAAGGTAAAGTCGAGGTGGAAGTCGAGATCGAAGTCAAAGACAAAGTCGAAATCAGAGTTGAAGTTCGTAGGTATTCAAGGTTGCGACGACTATGTCAATCGCAGGGTTGACGAATTGATGAGGTAGACAATATGTAAGGGTGCGATAGCGGCAAGGTCAACTGTATGCGTAAGAACTAAATTGTCTACAAAGAGTGGAAGTGATCGTAAGATCTGAGGCTATTTACAGTTCCAAGGGCACGGGCCACATCGCTTCCTCCACGTCTGTACCCTCACAGTTCTAAATAGCGATAGCAAACAAACCACCATCCTCTCCAAACTCCAGCCCCGATACCTTTTGTGGATCGCTCCCCATGTATGGTATAGTAGTGAAAATCTTCCCAGCCTTAAAAACCCTTATCCAAAACCGAGTAAATGACGAAATAAATCTAAGTGAAGTGCAACCCCTCCCGGAAAGACCAGAAAAAAGACTCCTTAACGCAAATTTGAAAACACACTATCTCTTCGTCGTGCTACCAAACGTGCTAGTAGTACGAATACTCAGCCCCGTCGTGGCTCTGCTCGAGCCTGTCAATGGAGTAATGGTGACCTGAGGAATACTCTGTGAGGGTCTGGATTTATTCGTCGGGCTTTTTTTTTCGTCTTTTTTCTTGTCGCTATTCTTCTTCTTGTCCCCACTATTTTTCTTGTCGCCATCCTTCTTCTTATCACCATCCTTCTTCTTATCACCATCCTTCTTCTTCTGCTCGGCTTCCTCCTTGGCCTTCCTCTTCGCGTTCAGTTCCGCGACGTATTTGTCGAATTTCTCCGTAGCGGTCACAAGCAAAGCCTCCTTGAGCTTTATCCAATTCTCGAAAATCTTTTTTCTGCCTGTCTCTTTGGCGTCTAGTCTACTGATTCGGAGTCTGAGTTCGGAGATTTCGCCTTCGAGTTTTTTCATTTGTTGTTTGAGTTCGACGTAGTGTGGATCTAGAAAAGTGTTAGAATGGTTCAGTCAGCCATGCGCGAAGTGATTCAGTTACCTTTAGCATTCTCAACTTGCCAGACATCGTTGGGAGCATCGTTGTTAAAATTGGGCACATCCAGAATTCCGTGCTCTTTAATTACCCGAGCCCCTAGTATGAGCTCACAAACGGGGTTGGAGACCACCAAAAAACGCATTTGACGGAAGATTTTCGTGGAGTTGCCATGGAACCATGTAAGTTTGACGGCACCGAATGGGATGACGGGATGACCCGAGACTGATACGCCAATCTTGTCCGTTTTCTTCAGTCCTTTCCCCATGAAATCAGTCTCCAGGTATCCTAGTTCGTTCAGGAGGAATTCTTTCGACACGAGGTTGCCTTGTAGGTTGGCGGTATCGATTGTACATTTGGCCATTTTTTGCAGGTATCGATCCTCGTCATCTTTCTCTTTGGATAAGACCCAGACTGAAGGAATCCAGGGAGAACAGAACTGTGGATAATTAGCTTTGTTTTTGATTGACAAAATTGAGTGGTATACACACATGCTCATTTTCCTCCATGTCTTCCTCGGGATCTTCTACTTGGAGTTGCGCAGTAACCTTACGAGTGTTTTTTTGCCAGGGCATCAGAACACTCTTTAGACTCTGCCAATATGTAACCTGAACCTCAACCTCAATCTCTGTGGCGATGACTTTGTATCCTGGTTTCTTGTTGGAGAGCAGCTCAGGATCCCTTCCTTCCACCTCGGTTGTATGTGTTTTGCTGGATTGCATGGAAGCGACCGAAAGCCTGCGCGAGTCGAGACCACCACCGGTAGTAGGAGACGCCGCGTAAGGACTCAATGCAGAAACCGACATTTGATCGTATTTTTGGTCGCCAAGCGAAGAAGCTGGGGCAAATCAGCTCAGGTTTATAGAATGTGCGAATTGCCATTCGTTGAAATGCGAGAATCTTACCACTGGTTTTTCCTGGGCTATCTATGACGGGTGGCAAAGTGCTTCCACGAGGAAGAAAACGTTTTGGAAGCAAATTGAGTTGGCAATTTGACGGGAACAAAAGTTTTGTATCGTGGGACAAAACGAAAGGTGGCACCTTGTTGGATTGGAGAACAATCCCGCTTCTTTATACGTCCCTTGCGATTGCTACAATTCGGCTCTCTGTGAGGCTCTTCCAGCAAATTTGTTAGTCCACAATAACTGAGACAAAAATACCAGTAATTGGTGCTGTGCCTCCTCCATTTCAACGTCACGCTTATCCAACCTCCAATACCTTGCGGCCATTCCCGCCTCTGGAGAATCCGGGCCGTAATATTGCTTTTGAATGACTAGACAGTGATTCATGGCCACCGTAAGCAACACATCGCCTACATCGCTTATGATTCCATTTTCTCGCTTTCTCCATTCACCGACGGTCTGGCGCCGGTCATTTCAAGCAAAATTTTCATTAGAGGCGAGTAGATGTGGTTGTACAGGCAGGCGGCTGTGATGCCCAAAGAAAGATGATGACAGCCGCTCCCAACAAACGAGCGTGGCCATAGGGAGGAATCAAACCTTAACAGCTGTATTGGGCGCTCGCTTGAGGTGGTTTCTCACCAACGGAACGTCCGTCTCACCGATGCTCTCGAATCCTTCGGTTCTCTGCCAATTTGGGGTTTGGGGCGAATCGGAGCGGCTAGGCGGCCCCCATAAGTAGCTGAGGAGACCCCAGGTTGGTTCGTTGAGCCATGACAGAAAAAGTATAAAATCTGGAGTCTGAAGACACCACTGATTTGTTTCAGGAATAGTAAGTCAAATCTGTTCGAAACAGTTTATCTCTAAAGTTTGACAGAAGAACACAAATTTTCAATCTGTCCAACAAGGCTATTTGGGGGCCAGCTCCCTATTAAAGAGCAAACCACAGAATGCGGCTCTGCGAGCGTCGATGACATTTCGACAGCGCATCGCGTAGACTCTGTATATGCTCACCGATAGATTGCTGAGTGAGGGTTGCATGCAGAAAATTCCCAAGTCGGTCAGCATGTGGAGGCTAGTTTCCTGGTTTTCTTCGTGCGACCTTCTCTATTTGAATGGTGTGGTGGGGGCGGGCAGTGCAGCTTCCACCGCACCGTTCTTGAGATCTGTCGGCATTGTCCAGGGCAAAATCCTAAGGTCTCAACTTGAAGATGTTTGCAATCTTCCTGCTCCAGATCTTTTGGTTGTTTTTATCGTGGTTTTAGGGCGAGTCCAGCCCCTTGTGAGTTCTGGTGGTGAGTGTATATTTCTCAGTCTCCCACGTCCCACCATATTGGTGATTTCGCACACCGTGCGACGCACCAGAGAAGAACCAAGGGGTGAGGAGAAGTTCCTATCAAACCCTCTGTTCTGGGAGCTAGACAGCAGTAAAGTTCTCTGTCGTGCTACTCACTGATGCTCTTACTGCAGACTATTTATCTACTAATATTGCTGTGAGAGCAATATGTGGGACGCAAATGTAACGACACCGTGTACTGCAGCCTCTACCGGAGGCAGTGCTTGTATATCCGTCGGGTGATATTGATGCGTGTTAGCGAGCTTGCAGAAGCCCCCTCACACCTTTTGCTTGCTGTTGTTATCGCGGGGACTGGATTTCATCGGGAACTGCTATGATTAGGCGCTCTCTGTGGCTTCTTTGCACTTGTGAGGCTCCATTCCTTTTAGTACCATAAATCTTTCAAAATCCCGAACTCTTTACATATCCACAAGAAATCTTCTTTTTTATTGCCAAAATGGTCACCGTATCGCAAAGTAGCGACACAGGTTCAATCCGTACGCAACTTTCGGGAACAGTCGTTGGTTCCGCACAAGCTTCTCCACAAGATGATTCTTTCCCCAAGATTAGTACGGATAACGTTTCGATTCATAATTCGCCATCGAGTACCTCCCTTGCGCGACCTGTCATTAAAATTGCAGAATCAACACGAACTTCTTCTCCACCGCCTTGTTCGCTCAGTTCGCAGCATGATTGTCTGAGAAGCAAGCACCCCGATGATCCACAAGCATGTCCCACAGTATATGACACTCCGTCCGAACCAGTTCCAGGAGTAAGAGCAGCCAATTTTCCATTCCCGCATCCAATTCTACTATAGCTCATAAAAAAGGTTGATACACTGCCCTCTGCGGCACATTTGTACTTTTTATTTTCGATTATGATCAGGTAGTAGCAAGTATTTGTCGACGATGCCGACAAGCATTAAGAGCCGGGCTCCCCTTCTATCCCAATCTTTTCGAATACAACTTGGAATGTACTGAAAGTTGACTCTTTGGGAGTTTGGAAAAGAACGAAACCTCGCTAACAACAAGAAGTGGCCAAAAGTTTCGAAATTAATGTCTGATACCCCCGAGTTCGCATCCTTTAACCGCTTCAGCGATCTCCAAATAAAGAGCCTGCTATATTATCAAGCCCAGATAGAACTACTGAAACAAGACCTGCAAGAGGAAGAGTGGGAAGACTACAGGCGTGGGGACGATACAGTGAGCAAGTACTGTGAACAAGCCAACTACCTCGTCTCCTCCAAGGCGAAACAATGGGAAATCATGAAAGAAATACGCAAACTCCTGAAGGAATACAGTACGTCCCTCACCAAGCAACTCAACAAATTGCGGTTTTTGACAATATACAGATGAAGCCCTGCTGCAATTTTCCCAAGTATCGGCTCTTCCAAAACCCGAAACACATAATTTGAACAGCCTAATGAAATGGCTCAAGAACCCGGACGCAGGAGACCTGTGTATAAACGGCGGCCAGGAGAAATACACATGGGGGAACATCTTCGGCAAGGGACCACCCGCAAAGACATTCAAGGAAGTGATATGGAGCTTGATCTGGTCCAAACCAGATCCCCCTTGCACCCCCGATCTCGCTTCGACACATCCAAAGGCTCCTGTCGATAGTCTTTCAAGATGGGTCGCCGCCTCATTTGTGCCCTGGTGGGCAGATTGGAGGGAAGCGCGAAAAAGAAAGAAAGAGGGTGACGCCGAGAAGACTGCAGCGCCTGAGAGCCCGAGGAAGACACGGGATCAGCTTGCGAGGGAGACGTTAACGATGTACTCTGGGGCTAGTATTGTACGGTTCACGTCTTCCCTAACGACGGTGGTTGCTTGTTTATTACCGACAATTGCTATAACGGTACTATCCCAAGTTCATGGTCTCGGAAACTTGCTGCTTTGTCTCGCTGGGTTCGCAATCATATTTGCTGCTGGCTTAATCTTTCTTGGGACGGCTTCCAGAGTTGAGATCTTTGGCGCCACTGCTGCGTGAGTATTTCGACAGGTAGTAGGAGGGTTCTTGAGCTGACTTGGGACTATAGGTTCTCGGCCGTTTTAGTAGTGTTTATATCTGTTCCTATTGTGATTGTGCCTCCCTCTGGAGTACCTTATACGCCAAACACATGAGTTCATGCCTCAAGCTCACGAGTCTCCTTACTCACGAGTCTCCTTACTCACGAGTCTCCTTACTCACGAGTCTCCTTACTCATGAGTCTCCTTACTCACGAGTCTCCTTACTCACGAGTCTCCTTACGTATATTGTAGTAGTTAGGGTTTCGAAGCTGTAGAAAGATCCGAAATAATTATCTGAATCAAGTGTGACACAGTGAGTGCTATGAAGTGACGATTATTCGTGATAACCAGGTCCACCAATTTCCCGAATTGATCAAGACATCATTCATCCCAGCTTCTTCAACTCATACCCATTCCCCTTCTCAACCCCCCTCTTCCAAGCCGGTCTCTCCCTAACTCTTCCCCTCCAAGCCGCCAACTTCGGAAACTCCTTCCCAAGATCAATCCATCCCCTCTCCGCAATCAAATCCACCGGAAACGTAACCATAAAATCGCTCTTCCCAGGATGTCCCCCATTAAACCACTCCTCTCCCAATTCGCTCTCCAAGTACCTCAATCCCTTCCTCAACTCGCCCATCGAGAACAGATTCTGGATCTTCGACCTCAATGCGCCCGTAATGTAGGAGAAGGGCCAGGGTGTATTCTTATGGATAAGCTCGAAGAGGATCTCGGTCGAGGTAACGGGTGCCAGAGTCGCGGATGCGAAGGCGGATATCTCGTCTGATCGGATTTGATCGACGACTGCGAACTTGTGGGAGGTGTCGTAGGTATCGATTATATAGGATATTATGACCGAGGACTCGATTATTACGCGTCCATCTTTGTTGACGAACGTGGGGCTCTTTCCGAGCGGACTGCGGATCTTTGTTAGTATCGTACTTATATAAGAACGCGTGGTAAGGATATTACATACTGGATCTTAGCTAGCTCCGGTGGAGCACGACCTTGTACTCTGGTGTATGCGACGTGATTGTATTCCACGTTGAGTTCTTCGAGGAGCCATAGGATTCGCTGGGATTGAGAATGCTTCACGCTGGTCAGCTATCTATGCAAAACAGAGGAGGGGCAATCTCCAACATTGAGGTGGTGCAAATTCGGGAGTCCTGGCTTCAGAGTCGCCTGCTGCTCGGCATCTGCGGTGGCTGCTGTAATCGCCATGCTGTCTGCTGTGGTGTTGACGCAACGAAAAGTATCACATCGATCGATATCGGGATGGTTGGCATTTCACGTCATACAACCAACCAAGACCCAACCCCTCGCGAGCCTCCTTCCATATCCAACCATCATTCACGCAGTAATCCTGGGCAATTGATATACCATTAATTTATTATTCGAATCTCTGGGTCTCTTTCTTATGAAGGGTTCCCCAGATATTTGGAAAAGAAGTCACACGATACTAGAGTACCAAGTAACCTTATGCACACGCCGCCCCACATAAACACCATGCTTCCCTGCGCAAGTCGTCACCCGTGGCTAGCTACCCCACCTATGTTCTACAAGAAAACAAGCACATCACCTAGAATCGATGTGTCAACGGATCTCCTCCCCTCCCTTCTCACCGGTCTGAAAAAGCGGAGTAAAACTCAATTAGACAATTGTCAAATTTAGAAGTTTTCCCATCTCATCGTTTCTCTATTTCCTTCAATTTTGGAAACTCCCCTTTTTGCCTTATAAGCTACATTGTTGTATCTTCCAACTTCACCGCTCTCACACCTATGTACCAATACATTTTCTCAATTAACCCGTTTCACACAAACCCCCCCTCAAAATGTCCTCCCCACCTCCAAAGCCAATCGTCCTCCACATCGGCGATCCAATCCAATGGAACCACAGTCTCTACTCCCAGTTTTCCACGGACTTTACCGTTATCCGTCCCTCAACCGAAGAGCGACAACGTCCAGAATTCATCAAAGCCCTCAAAGAAAAAAGATGGGGGAACTTCGCCGCGATATTCCGGCCCTTCTGGAATACAGGAGGAGAAATGGGACGTTGGGATCGAGAGCTCATCCCGTTGATTCCGGAAAGTTGTAAGATCTTTGCGAGTGCTGGGGCGGGATACGATTGGGCGGATGTGGATATTTTGTCTGAGAGAGGTAAGTAATAGTTAGTAAACAAGTCCAGTGTGACAGAAGGCTGATATTTGGTAGGAATTATATATTGTAACAGGTAGTCATTGGAACTATTTCTCAGACTCCTTGCTCTCTTGAACAAATTTTCGTTCTAACAAAATCTATTTCCACAGCGCAGCAGCCTCCTCCGAATCCGTAGGAGACTTCGCCCTCTTCCTAATCCTCTCCACCTTCCGCAACCTCGCCTGGTGCACAACCGCCTCGCTCACGCCCCAAACCTTTCAAGACTGCCACACCAACTCGGCCGCCATATCACACAACCCACGAGGCCACGTACTCGGTATCATCGGACTAGGAAACATTGGATTCACCATCGCACTTAAAGCCTATCACGCCTTCCACATGAAGATCATCTACTATGATCTCGCAAGGAAATCGCCGACTCAAGAGCAGAAGGTGGATGCAAAGTATGTGGGCAGTTTGGATGAGTTGTTGGGACAGAGTGATTGTGTTGTTCTTGCGACGCCGGCGACGCCGGATGGGAAGCAGGTTATTACTGAGGAGAAGGTTAGGAAGATGAAGATGGGGAGTCGGTATGTTGAGTTCTTCTGTCTTGTTTGCTCAGTCATTTCTATCTATGTTCAGAAGTCTTAGCGAGAGATATGGGCTTAAAGTCCCATTCTTTTTATCGCTTCAGCATCTCCCTCCACTCACCACCAACGTCCACACCCTACTAACCACCCAAAGATTCATAAACATAGCCCGCGGCTCCCTAGTATCCACCACAGCCCTCTACAATGGCCTCCAAAGCGGGCGTCTAATTGGCCTCGGTCTAGACGTCCACGAAAATGAGCCCACCATCGACACCCGACTCAAGAACCACAAGAACGTAACCTTAACAGCCCATAACGCGGGTGGGACCTTGGAGACGTATGTCAATTCCTCAGTTCCTTCTCTTTGTGCTGTATTGTGATTTGGTGGTAGAGTTGGATGAGGATAGGGAAGGAGAGATGGAAAGGGAGCTGACATTTTTGGATCCATAGACACATCGGCTTCGAAAGCCTCTCCATGCAAAACATCGACGCAGTACTCAAAGGGAAAGACGCCCTAACACCCGTTAATAAGCATCTTATCACCGATAAAGCCAACAAACACACTCCTAGTAAACACGGGGGCCAAAAACTCTAGTTCCCCACCCCTTTCCTCTTAGGATAGTTAGGGAAAAGAATATGGATATTTGATCACGAGAAAGAGAGAGGCAAAGGAGTAGGCGTGGGAGTATAAGTAGAAATCAGGTCTTCTTCTTAGATTTGGTATATATAGGAAAGAAAGAAAGAAATATCTCGGCTATAGGTATATCCTGGTTTTTTTTACAGTTTTAGGCTAGAGTGGATCTAAAAAAAGTCAACCTATCTACCGAATCAAGAAGATACCTAGTTACCACTTTACATACACCTCTCTTAGAATTTATTTCATTTCATTTCATCAAAACCCTCGTACACAGCATTCAGTAAACAGTACTCGATTCCAGATTCCCTAATTCCATTCCATCTAGAATATTACTAGAAACCCTTCCTTATGAATAGCACACTTCACTTATTTCCATCAAATAGGCTTTAGAAAGAATTCCATTCAGCTCTAGAATCCCAAAATCACGCACTAAGCTAAGCTAATACTATACCTTCTGTATAATACTATCATTCACTACCTCTCAGCGCCAAGTAAGCTAGAGGATTTCTATCAGTCTTCAGACGGTGCGGTGAAACTTTTCTCCGGATTATATATTTTTATTCTATAGAATACCATAGCACCACCCTAGAAAGAATACTCTATTCCAGAGATTCCTAAAAATAGCATCATACATTCTCTAGAATAGTCTATGCTAGACTTCCACTTACCGAACGCTCTACTCATAAAATAAATAACTCCTATCCCCTCGAGCCCCTCAACTGCGGCCAGCACCTCCCTGGTCTGTGCCCTGTGCCAAGAAGTGTAAGCGACCTAATAGAATACCAGCTTCAGTAGAAGAATATACGTATTATAACTGTTAACTTATAGGTAAAGGTAGTTTAGTATAGTAGTACCGTAGTTTAGTTATTATTAGTAATTAAGGCTAATATAACTCTTTTTATATTTATTCTCTTAAGTAGTATAATTTAGTAGTATTCTAATAAGTTTGAAACGTATTATAGAACTTTCTAAGAGTATAATATATAGACGGCGAATCCCTAAATCTGTAGCATCTATTCGTGTGTTTTTAGGTACTATAGTATTAAGTTATATTAATTTCTAAATCCTACGAAAGTTAGTGTTCCTACCCCTATATTAGGAGGTGCTGGCCGCAGTTGAGGGGATAAAAACTATAATAATAACAACAGCTTATCACCTACCTACCTACTTATGATCCTAGGTCCTAGCTATCCTCCCACCATTCTTCCACTATTAATTTCCCCTCTACAAAAAGCCTATAGGTAGCAAAATAAACACACATATACAAATACAAATACCATATATAATAACATCTCTATACCCACCCATCCATTCATCAATCTATCTCACAAAAATCCTTCCCTAGCGAACCTTCATACATCCACGGATCAAGAAAATCAAAGAACGAAAGAATCACAACATCTTCCTCTCTCTCTCTATGCCCCCTTAACAATTACAAACCTACTAAAATTCAAAAGGCCCTTATACCCCTCACCCTAGCTTATCTATCCCATCCCATCCCATCCCATCCCATCCCATCCCATCCCGTCCCATCCCGTCCCTTCTAGACGCACGTAGTAGGAGGACCAGCTACCAGCCTACGTTATATTATATTATACTATATATTACAATAATAGATACGAAATGATAACCTAGTGAAACAGTCAGATAGCGGTACTTAGCCACTACCTTACATGTTTTTCAAGTTGGACAGACCCTCGGGAGCTACGTGCACGATTGCCTCGATCCTCCTAAGTCTAGAAGGGGAATTTACATCAGGTCACACACCTTACCACATCACACTACACCACACAACTCAAACACACGAGGCACAAAAAGAAATATGCAAATTTCTTTTCTTTTATCCCATTCAGCAATTGTCTCTCCCTCCCTCACTCATCCACTTCCTCTTATCCCCAATTCGCACTGTGTACGCCTCCCCATCCCCCCTCCCCAAAGCATCGCGGGATCTCAAAAAAGAAGAGAAGACAGAGCAAAAGAGACAAGCAACTTCTACGCAATACAACCCCGTGACCCCCTCCCTCTCCCCATTTCTCCCCAAATAATGACAAATCTTTTAGTGCTCCACCTCCGCCCAGAAAATGCAGAAATATGAGAAAAAGAAGAGCAAGAAAAACAACAAAAGAAAGCCCCGAAAAAGAAAAGCCCAAAAGAAAATGCAAGGCAGATAAGACAATACAATTCCCAAGGGGAGAGAAAGAAAAAAAAAGATGTGAAAAGCAAAAGGCAACTCAATTGTACATCACTCCCCCCACTTGACTCCCAATTCGCCATAACCTCAAATTGGAATGATTCCACCCCATGCGATGCCATATGCCTGATCAAACTCCAGAAGAAACCCCCCGTGTGTTGAAAGGCACTATTTAGTAAACGCCGAATTCCCTTGGTATAAATTTTGAAAGGGGTATGGGAATGCTTCAGTCCACGAGTTTTGTCGTAAATCAAGGTCCATCGAAGAACAACTCCATCTCCGGATTCTCATCCCACTTTGTGTCTCGCTCCTTATCTCGTTCGCGCTCCTGCTCGGCCAATTTATCCACTTTAGCATCCTCATCAACCTGATTCGTAAGATCATTGAACATCTGTGCAACATCTGGTCCATTTGCTTGACTGCTATTGGTGAAAGCGTCACGCATTGGGCTATCGCCACCGGTTCCAAGGGCAACAGAATCCATACGTCCAAATCCAGCTTCATTGAACATTTCAGGTGCTCGGGGGCTCACAGTCGGGGCAAAAGCAGGACTTTGAAGCCCACCGCCATGCATGAACGCATGTGGAGCAAAAGCAGGTGAGGTACTGCTTTGAGGACTAATGCTGAAATGCGGGTCCTGAACAGCGGCGAATCCACCAAAGTGCGAAGGATGACCATGTTCAGGTGGAATCCCAGAAAGAATTGGTCCACCATGCATAGCAGCTGTTGCTGGAGGGAACGTATGCGACGTTGGTGTACCAGAGTCTGATCTACCCGGCGCAGGCTGTAAAGGTTGAGGTCGAGATGATGGTTCACTAGACTTGCGCTTGAATGTATGAGGCTTGGTTCTTAGATTTTGAGGTAATTCCTCTGGATTATCAACCCCATGCTGTGCCATGAGCTTTTGGAGTTTGGTTGGTCGTGGCTTTCTTGTCGACTTGGATGAGTCCAACACAGGAGGTGGCTCTGGTGCAACGGGTGACCATTTATGTAGCTCTTGACGGAAGAAATTCGTCTCATACGCCAGAAGAATCTCTGCACCTTCAATCTTGCGCAGATAAAATCTTTGTGTCTCGGATTCATCGGCCGTTGCCATTACAGGGTTGCAGAATGGCGCGACATGAGATCGGAATTCTTGAGCATTGTCGATGATCTTGATGAGAATATCCTCTTCATCCGGCTGGAAGGGCAGTGAAGGAATCTCATCCTGCCATGCCTGTAGATCCTCAAGCTTTGGACGAGCAGCATCACGGGGGATACGAACTCGCCAATCACATATAGGGCAGGTATATTTTTCATCGTCCTTGACCTTTCCGCGAGCGATCTTGAGGCACTTACCATGGTACCTGAATGGCATTAGTATATATAAGACAGAATAGAAATTGATGAAAACCCACCATTCATGACACAGCTCACATTCAATCATCATGCCAGCTTCAATACGTCGGCAGATGCAAAAGACCTCGCGGAACCGAGGATCCTCCCAGCTATGTAGCTTGGCATCAGAAGGACTAGGCTCGCGTGAAGCAGGCTCAGCAGGCAATCTTGGCTTGTCTGCGTTGATATCAAAGCAATCCACATTGCGCTCAAGCACATACTCCATGTGAGACTTCAAGATATGTAGAGGGGCATTGGCCTTGCCAAAGAGTTTCTTGCCTTTGCGCATCCAGTCCTCATGACGCTTCTGTTCCTTTTCCAAGTCAATGGTCCCGGTTGGCTTGCTGTTCAACTCGGTCAGATGCTCCATGGTCTCGCGAACTTCGGCATATTTTGGTCGCTGAGTGATGTCCTCGTTTCGACTTCGTTCATACAAAGATTGAACTTGCCGAAGAGCCTCGCGTTGCTTGTTCAGAATTTGGTCAACCTGTGCTAGCGTCTCTTGTGAGACTGGAAGTGCTGCAGCTTGAGCTTGAGCTGACAGAGCCTCGAGTTGTGGATAATGTACGGATTCCGCATTTACCAACTCCTTTGCTTTCGCTTCCCACGCCATTCCGGCATTTCTTTGTTCCTTATAATGCTGTAGATGCTGATTGTACTCGGGGATTTCGAGCTTGGCACCCTCGTCGATGAGATTCTGAACTTCTTTGAGAGTCAAAAACTGGCCTTGACTATCGCGCGCTCTATCGTTCCATTTCATCTGTTGAACAATTGTGTCAAGTTTTTCAATCTCCGGGATATCAACATTGAACCCTCTACCCAATTCTAGAAGATCCTCAAACTCTTGTGTCTGACGTCGTACAATGTTTGCAAGTGCAGCACGGGCATCTCGCTGGAAGTTATCGATGGCTTCGGCGCGTTCTCGGAGTTGGGTAATTTCGGGGCAGTCAAACCCGATTTTATCGGCTTCCTTCAAAAGCTTTTTGACATTTTCTACTTTTCGTAGCTCTCGATCTCGTTCCTCCATTTCGGCTTGTTTACTTCCCTTTCGCCAGGCTTTCTCGTTTTTACGACGATTCTGTTGTTTTCGAACGATGTAATTAGTTGCTTCTTCTACCCATTCATTGCAACGTTCGACGAACCCTTTTAAATTGGGAAGAGACTTCAACGCATATGGTATGCGTTCACCTTCATTAAGAAGCGTGCGCAAGACCTTCAATGGAGGAGTCGGATCATCCTCTAGAACCTTCTCTACCTTTTCCTCCCATTGCTCCGGTAAATGGGCCTTTTCCGCAATCTTTTGATGAATTGCATCGATTTCCTTGGCAGTACGGCGATAATGTAGAGTGTGGTTGTTTCCGCTGTATCGTTGATCTGGAGAGACTGAACAACATTCGTAGTTACCGGCGTGAAGCATGCACATGACCTTGCCACTCGTATTACACTTGAACCTAGAAAGATAGGCGTAAGATTTGCAGTACGTGCACTGATATTCTTCTTCTGGCACATCCTCCTTGTCAATGACAAATCCGAGGGGCATTTTGCACCTTCTGCTTCCATTGTATCGGTGACAGCACATGGGCCCTCGTGCTCTTTGTGTTTATCGAGGAACAATAATCTCTGTGCTGCTTCACGATCTCGTAGGCGTTCCAGGGCCGGAGCCAGCCACTTTGCAGTTTGAATGGTGACAGCACCGTTCGAACCTTCCGCGGCTGTCCACAAAAGCTCATCATGCGAAAAACAAGGCTGTCGTCGGAATTGTTGTAGTCGTTCCACGCCGGCATCGCCTTTAGGTTCCCAATCACTGGGGGCGAAGTTGACAGCCTCATTAAAATTGAATCCGTGGTTGAAGCCAGCATGATATGCCTGGGGAAATGTGACGACAAACTGTCCTGCTCTTTGGTCCAGGGCATAAACTCGTACGCCGGCCTTTCTTAATTGTTCCGGTGTTAAGAGTGTGACCAGTTGGAAAAGGAGGTCAGGCTGTGTCTCAAATAATTCAGGCACAGCCTCTCGCATGGCGTTCTCAAATTTCTCGGCATCTTCACCAGGAATTCCATACCAAGTCTTTGTCGATCCAAAATGTTGGTAGTTTGCAGAGTAAGCATAATGGTCCTCATTGTGCCAGCAAAAAGTTGAGAAAATCATACCCACATACAACCAAGGAACGGTCATACCCGAAATATCCGACTTGATGTGACGGAAAAGTGATTCGGGGTGGTAGGGCATGATATTCAAGTTCCAAGGATCAGTGGAGTAAGGATTTTGCGGATTTTTCTCAATGGTAGGGAAACCGCTACCGTGAGTAGTAGAATGGATATCAGCTCCATATTCGACCTCGACGGTCTCCTCCAAACTTGCCACAAGGCGCCAGAATTCGCGCTCAATATCGTCTTCGGTGACAGGTCTTGGGCAATTGAGCACCGGATCAAAAGGCATCTTGTTCTGAAAGTAGCCCTCCTTGAAATCCGCTGCCTTCTCTTGAAATTGTTTGAGAGAATAGATGCCGCCTTCTTCAAAACCGAATTGTCCATCGCCTACAAGACATCTTGGACAGTGCCAATCGTAGTCTGGTTTTTGTGTAACTTGTGGATCAAGGCAATACATGTGATAACCATGATCGCATGACTCGCAAATGAGTAAATTGCTCATATCGTCATTCTTACCACAGTGTTCGCATTTCTGAAAATCATCTAAGTATGTACATGAAAATAAAGTGTTAGTAGAATTGCTTACCTCACCAGGGGCAGATGAGCGATGCTCTCCCGGAATCCTTGGGGGTGTTGGTCGGAACAAAGTCATGTGGGAACCAGCCACAGTTGGTACAGCATCTGCAGGGAATTATTAGCCGGATCTTCCTTCGCCAATCAAGAACTGACTGTGCAGGAGGATGAAAATGCATAAATGGCATCCTTGGACGGCATCCAAGGACGTTCAAAAGAATGCGAAAAACATAAAGTCAACATACCTTTCTTAAGACGCTTGCTACGGCGACCACTAGCTTCACCGTCATCGAGCGGCGGTTGACTCCCCTTTCGGGAGCGAGATTCAATACTGTCGTGACTAAGTTGTCGCTTTAAAATAGGATTCGAAGTGAAACCATTGACCGCAGGGGCGGAACTGAGAGCAGAAGGTCGATATTCAGGCGTAGCTTTTGCAGACCCATGAGGCGAATCAAATGGTACGCGCCTAGGTGGAGTGAAACTCCTTTCCTCCCGGTCTCGCCTATTCACATTGACGGGTGTAAATGTTGCTGGAGCGGCGTTGACGGGGGTAAAACCGCCTGCATTGACAGGAGTAAATCCAGAAGTGACGGGTGCTGGAGGTGGAGTTGGAGCTTGAGCGGGTGAGTCGAGCATTGGAATGTTTTTCATGCCTTTCTCAAACTCATCTTTCATGGAAGCATTCAAAGCATCGGATGCTCTGACTGCAGGTGACTCCCCTCGCAAACTGGACGGGGTATTTTGATATGACTTTTTGATGGGAGAGTTCGCCGGCGATGGGGTAAGAGGGCCTCCATATTCAAATTCCAGTTGTTGGTGAACTCCGGGTTTCGCAAGTCGTAGATATTCCTCGTATGGGAATAACCATCTTTGATATGAGTTCTTCAGTGATGTGGAAAGTGAAGACATGATCTTTCCACTATATCCCAAGTCTCGCCCAATTTCGGCCCATTTCTTGAGCTTGCACACCTTCTCAAAGCCGCCTCTGGTCTCGACCGCCTTCTTGAGTTTGTATAAATCCAAGGGACGTTTATCGACGCTCGGAAATCGATTGAGATTGGTTCCATGCTGCTTGTGAAATTTCGCAAGTTGGTCGAGATATGTGAGATTCGCACGTGTGCCTAATAAAACTGATTAGTTCCTCAGGTCGGACTGGATGGGTCGCAAGGTCGTCGTGATTTAGAGAGACTTACTGCCTTCGACGGAGTTTAATTCCTGCTTTCGCGTGCGAAAGTGGAAGCGCTGGTAAAAGTTAGAAATGCATCAATCACCAGATTCAGGCAATTGCGATGTCTTGGGAGCATGAAGCATCACCGTTGTATATTCCCCAGCTGTGGGAGCCTGTGATTCGCATACGTACCTCTGTGTCAATCGCAAAGTCTGGCTGCCAGCTATCGGGTGGAATGATTTTACATATTCCGTATTTCGAGCCCTCTGCGGATATTTTCTTCATGTATTCAAAGGGATCCTTAAACTCCTCCACGGTTGGTCTAAATGTTGGCGCTTCCTCCAAGCCATGAGGGCGTATTCTTTTGGTGGTCTCCCGGCTCGCGGTAGGCTGTCCCCTCCTCTCCACACTAGTCAAGTCTAGAGGGAGGGAGTGCATTGCGCTCAATGGAAGCGGTGCAGCAGCCGGATTATTCGCATTTCCGTTCACAGAGGGCTTCCCTCGTGTTGAAGTCGCACTGCTAGTCATCCCACTTGCGGGTGAGGCTCGCATCGTGGAGCTCGAAGCGGCGGAAGCCAGAGGTACCTGTACCATCGCGAAAGTTGGTCAGAAGGAGGATAGATTTGTCGAGGTCGGATTATTTGGGGTTTATTGTCAAGGGGCCAACTATCGCGCGTAGTGAATCGACATCGAAGGTCGAATGTTGGGTGAATTCACGGGCTGCACTCTTCCAGGTAGAAGAATCAGATGTGTTGGTCGGAAGCCCCTCTAACTCACTCCTCCAGCTCCCGTATAACAGATACAGGCGACGGAGGCAGTAGATGTGTGACTACTGAGTACCATGCCCTTTGGAAAATCACAATCAATGTGGGGGAATGGCGAGGAAATGCCTCCGATCGTGGGCGATGCTGGTGTGGTGTTGGGTCGTATTGGGGAAGGTGATGGTGGTGTGGAGAGATATGGGAGTGGAAGGGCAGGCAACGTGTGGAGGTTCACGCGGACTACTTGGTAGCAGCGAGACCAGCAAAACTGGGACTGGGACTGGCACTGGCAGAGGGACTGGCATCAGCTCAGACCGCAAGAAGGCTAACGAAAGCGATTTAGCGGGCATGACACCCCAAAGAGCGCCTTCCACTTTGCCAACACGCACATTGCATCCCTGCGCTCCCCAGATTTGGTGCCGGCAATATTTCTCACTTCACAGCCCATGGCATCAGATTTTCGAGGAGAAAAAAAGCATTGGGATTCTCGATACGAGCACCGCGTATCTCAGCGCGCACGAGACGGGGAATTCAGGACTCGGTTGCCTTTCATTTTGCATTTCTGTGGTCCCATCCTTTTTTGGGGAAACCGCTGCACTCTGGTGTCGAGAGTAGATATTGACAAGGATCGCACCGAACCTGAACACGCTAGGCGACCCGCTTCCACGGAATTGGGCCAATGAGGATGGATGGACGTTGTGAGGGCAGAGGTTAGAGTCGGAATCTGGACCTCCTCTGCTTTGAGCCTTTGCCGAGTTTTTGGCTTTCTAGATATGGATACTTCTGGAGCAGAAAGCGAGCACTTTGAGATACTCGTATGGCTGCCATCCAAACAAAATGTCCCTCCATTATGACTACAAATTCCAAGTATTATTTCCGAACTATTAAACTATTTGTTTGGTCGTTGTCAATGGTATCTGGCGTTCATCCATCGACCGGGGCCACGAACATCTTCGGGCGATCCGAGGAACAGGAGCCTTGGAACGTGGTGGTGGTGTTCTTTGTCATGCAAGAACTTGGAAGCACGTTGAATCGCTAGCAAATCAGCTCCGTATACCTGGTAGGCATTCCACTGGTCCATACTCCATATAGAGATCCATCCATACGGAGTATCAAGTCCACCGACGCCCAACACTCATCCATTTGTTTGGTGTTTCCATGGCATTTCGCCGAAAATTACAATGTACTTATTGTCCGCACGACAGATGAAACTTTGATGCCTTCCTGGCGTGCTGGGATGTTCCTTCGATCCGTAAAGACGGTAGCGGTAACTGTTCCCCAGGCGGCAGGCCGAGAGATGCCAATGCCAATGCAATTGTCCTAGCAACATTCCTTAGTTGCAATCACGAAACCGATTGGAAGCTGTGAGATGGTGATGAACATTGCACAAGAGCCTTCACTATTTGGGACCTGTAAGAATTGATGTATGAAGTATGGATTGCCAAAGTAAGAACATGGTCATTGCTCTGTAAATACACGCTGTTTAAAGTTATTATGCTAAAAGTCTAGCACAACTTAATTAATTGTACCATTTCATCTAGGTTAATAAGGAGTGAAAAGTATCAATTATTCTAAACTCTCCATACAATTGCTTTAGTTGTGTGAGGTCTTTAGTAAAATATTCTTATAACTCAGGTGTGGTGTAAGATCTTACAGAGTAATGCCCGCGTCTCTTACTGTTCGAGGGTCGGGTCTGGTGTGAAGAGGGCGGAGGGCTTGATAAAAGCTGCATCGAGCATGCGCCGCATCAAAAGCCGCTGCCGCTTTTGCCCAGGCTCATGGATGCCATGCAGGGTCGTCCCTTCCCTTCCCAGGCTTCCCGAACCCAACCCAGGGGCCACTGCCACGCCCCCGGCCACCTATTCTTAAAATATCGTGACGTTGACGTTCACGCCAGTCGTGTGGACGTCCCTCGGTTCATGGACGTCACCAGATTCAATTGAAACAACCTTGGAACCCCGACTCCAACTTGCCTACTTGGTACTCGATTGGTACCAAGCTCCGTCACGGTGGAAAAGTCGAGAAATGCCTCTGGACCGTCCTATTCCGGCCTTCTATTGCTGCTATCTTCTGAGGTCGACGGTGAGCCACGGTAGTGTTTATGTTGGCTCAACGCCACATCCAGGTATTTACATCACCATTTCATGGACGACCGACGACTGATGTATATACCTCAGTGCGACGACTTCGCCAACATAATGGCCTCGCAAAGGGCGGTGCAAGTCGAACTGCACGGCCGAGACTGAGGCCATGGGAGATGGCATGTATTATTACTGGCTTCCCAAGCAACATAGCAGCTTTACAATTTGAGTAAGTAAATATTGACACGTGATTATCACGGCATCACGTGTAGGGGTAGAGTTGAAAAGCCTGGAAGTCACTTCTCTTTCAACACCATCTTTCTATCAAGATCAAGTCGATTTTGGAACGTTTCATGTAGTGCTCATTTAGTTCAAGCAGAAAGACCATATTGATCTTCAAACATTGACTACCCATCATCCAATTCTACACTTCAAGTTACTAATTTCTCCAGATGGGCCTGGCAAAACCCACACATCACTTTACACATTGCGCCCGAAGACAGAATCCAAGGCGCAACAAAGAAGAAACGATCGGGCCACCCAAAAAGACCTCGCCATACAGTGAGCTCATTGTTATCGAATCTACATCTTCTGCTCCGTTCACCATCCTTTTCTCGATGGCCGTTGGAAATCCGATTCTTCTCCAAGGATGTCCATAATACATGGACGAAATGGATCAAGTCGACACCCGAGACCATACGAGATTCTATACAGATCCATCAAGAATTCTTAAACGAGAATAACAACGGCTCGGTCGTCGAAGACGTCGATAAGGAACCCGGCCAAGAAGCAGTCTATACAAGAATGTCACATATCCCCATTGACTATACAGGTGAAAAAGAACATCTTTTTAAATCAAAAGATATTATCGACTTCGAGAGAGAGGGCGACTGTGCTGTGTGCCATGAGACACTCCAGTCTGGTGGGGGCATGCACATCATCTGTCCCGCCTCTGAATGTGAGGCAGTTTCCCATGTAAGTTGCTTGGGTAAGCATTTTTTGAAAGACGACGACGATGAGTTGGTCCCAATTCGGGGGCATTGCCCAAGTTGCAAGACTCAACTAATTTGGGTTGATCTTGTGAAAGAGATGAGTCTCCGTGTCAGAGGCCAGAAGGAGGTAGAAAATCTTTTAAAAGTAAAAAGATCAAGAAAGGGCAAAGGGAAAGCATCATCACAAGCTATAATAGCAGATTCGGATGCAGAGGAGTCCGAAAATGAACTGGAATTGGAGGAAGAGGAGGAGGAGGAAGACGCCGACTTGGTGGACATTATCACAAAGCCCTCCCAATTACCGGAAGGTGACAGTTGGAATGTCATTGATGACTATGACGCATCTGATATGGAATCAATTGCCAGTATGGCTAGCAACATGTCCCAAAAAACTGCCGCAATTCGTAGCCAGAAAGGAGGTGCAGCGCTTGGCAGGATCGTGGAGGATAGTGATTGTGATTGGGATGAAGTGGAGGTACTGGATTGAGTACAATGCAGAAACGGGATATGCAATCCAAGACTTTTTCTCGCTCAAATAGGCAGCGAGAAAGAGGGACTTGGATCTCGTTCTTGGAGCAAAACTTATAGTATTACACATTACAATACCGAGTTACAGTATGTCAAGATATTTAAATTTACTTTATTGTGAGTTTTTACCTTCCTCTTTTTATGACGTCTTTATTTCTAGGAGATAGATGGTTCATGCTGAGAACGGTAAAGTACCAGGTACAGAAGAATAGTGCGTTAGGCCATTATTAGCCAAGGGAGGCGACCATCGGTGTCCATCCTGATGGAAAAGGGCCGGCTAACTTCTCCGCATTTTCCCCGCATTTCCTCGCGTGCACCGCAGCTCGCTGCTAATTTCAACGACCCTTCTCCGAGAACATATCCGAATAATGATGCACGATCGACTTCCTTTTCTGCGTCGCTATTGGATGTTTTCTGCGCGAGTCATCTGAATTTGTGCACTTTTCACTCTTTGGTGTCCACTTTGTGTGTCCTTTGGGATGGAACGGTTGGGGTGAAGGCGCTCTGCATCCCTTTTTCCCCAGAGTTGTTTTCCTGGTGAAAAGGCGGTGCGGGGAAGCTAGGTGGGAGCTACTCGCTTGCTCTTGCTCTACCTCATCTTGATCGCATACCAGCTTCCGATGGGAGGGGTGATTGGGTGGTGAATTAAAGGAAATTCCACTCTTTTTGTTGGTTTTTTCGGATTGCCTCCGGGGTGAAGTGCATTCATTTCTTGGGATACTGGGGGAAAGGTTCACGAAACGGGTACCGGTACCTTGTGGGGACTCTTCACCTGTCTGTCTATCTGTCTGTCTGGTGATTCGGACCTCTGGGACCTGACGTACCTGGCACTACAATGCGGGGAAATCACTTGGGACCGAGTGAAGGGCTGGGCTTGGGAGAAGTATTTAATAATGTATCGATGCCGCTTGGGATCGACAACTTGTGTTCGTCACAGTCCATTGCCAATATGATGTTGTCTTTGTTGGCTCAGGTTCTTGCTGTTACGGGCGTTTATGTGGCTTCTCCGGTACTTGCACCGAGATGTGCTGCTGCTCCTGTGGTTACGGTCAAGAATGGTTCGTATGTTGGGGTTCATAATCCTACGTACAATCAGGATTTCTTTTTTGGTATTCGTTATGCTAAGGTTTGTTTGGTTCCCTTCTCGTCAGGTCCAATTGCTGCTCATCAAGTCCAAATAATTAACCGAATATTCAGCCCCCAATTGATGATCTCCGTTTCCGTGTTCCTCAAAGTCTCAATGAGACATGGACAGAACCTCGTCCTGCAACTGAGCCTGTCCCCTTTTGCGTCGGCTACGGAGGCGACAATGCCGGCAAGCGAATGTCAGAAGATTGTCTCTACCTCCAAGTCGTTCGGCCTTCTGGCATTGACCCATCCACGCCTCTTCCAGTAGCAGTCTGGACTCACGGCGGCGGTCTTGCTATGGGTGGTCTCGATGATCAGAGATACAATGCTAGTTTCATTGTGCAAAATAGCGTGGAGATGTGCACTCCTATTATGGTTGCTTCTCTCGCTTACCGTGTTTCGGCTTGGGGATTCTTGAGCTCTGAGGTGACCCTCAAGGACGGGTCTACTAATCTAGGGTTCAGAGATCAGAGATTGGCGTTGCATTGGTTGCAGGAGAATATTGGTGCTTTTGGGGGTGCACCAGAGAAGGTTACTATCTGGGGAGAGAGTGCGGGGGGTTCTAGTGTCGGGGCTCATCTTTTGGCTTATAATGGTAAATCCCATCTTCCACCACACACCTTCAATGATATCTAACAACCCCCCAGGACGAGACGACAAGCTCTTCAAAGGAGCAATCGCTCAATCCGGCGGTCCTGGAATCCGCTTCGGCGTCAACGACGGCTCTCAAGCCTGGAATACCTCCTCTCGAGAGAAAGCATACAACAGCGTCGTCACAGCCACCGGCTGCACATCCTCCCCCAACTCTCTCGAATGCCTACGTGCTCTCCCCTTCGAGACGCTCAATGCCGCCATCAACACCACCGAGCAAGAAGGAGCCTCCTTCCAACCCATGATCGACCACGACTTCATCGCCGCCTACGGCTCCACCCAACTCAACACCGGCAAATTCGTCCACGCCCCCCTCCTCATTGGCACCAACTCCGACGAAGGCTCCTCCTTCGCTCCCCGCACCCCGCCCTGTAACACCGAAGAGGATTTCCTCGGCCTCCTCCAGACATCAAACATCTCCTCGGAAGCCGCACAATCCATCTCCATCCTCTACCCCGACATCCCCGCCATCGGGATCCCCTCCCTGAAAACCTTCCCCTACGACCCGAACTCGACGCTCTCCCAAACTTTAGGTAAGGCATACAGACGAGTCCGCGCCTACTTTGGGGATCTGAGCATGACGCTCACGCGTCGCGCGGCGAATCACGCTTGGTCGCTGCAAAATGTCAACTCCTTCGCGTATCGGTGGGATGTCACGATCCCTTCTACGGCGGCGGGCAATGGCGCGGGACATTTCCAGGAGGTGGCTTTTGTGTTTGATAATACCCTCGGTCTTGGGTATGCTGTGAATCCTTTTGAAGGGTTGGGGGAGGCGGGGAAGGGTCTTGCGAAGGAGATGAGTAGGCGGTGGGTTGCTTTTGTTGTTGGTGGGAAACCGACGGTTGGTGCTGTGGGTGGGGGTAGTGGTGTAGAGTGGCCGGTTTATGATGTGTTGAAGGGGGGTGGGGTGGGTGATGGGTTGCTTTTTGATCTTGAGGGTGCCAAGGTGGAGGAAGACTCGAATAGAGCGGAGGGGATGAAGTGGATGTGGGATCATGCGGAGGAGGTTTATGGGCTTTGATGAAAAGAGGGTTTTCTGGTAGGGGGGAGGTTGGATGGGATGGGATGGGATGGGGGAGGTGGTTTGGGCTCTCTTGCTGAGGGGTTGAGATTGATGGATGGATGGATAGGGGGAAAGAAATGGGGATCATGAGATGATGAGATGGGATTAATGGGATTAATGGGATTAATGAGATGGGATGGGGATTGGGATGGGGAGTAAGTTGTGGTATGGATAATCCTCCCTTTTCCTCCCCCCTTTCCCTGGTACCTACGTTACATAACGAAGAAACGCGAAATGCGATACGAGGAATGAGAATATCATAATACGAAATCGTAGTACAGTATAGTCTGTTCGTGAGTCAGTTATCCGTTATTCTTCCTCTCTTCCCCTTAACCATTGACATCCTACTCCTCCTCCTACATTTCCCTTTACCTTTTCCTTCACCACTTTCCCACTAGCACATATGTACCCGTCCTATTCATACGAATCTCCACCTAATTTACTTACACAAAGCTTCCAGAATAACATAATTCCAAAAGAAGTACCAGTACTATATATATAAAGTAACAACCACATCTCTTACATACCTATTAGACAGGTGTGAAATACCCTATAGTATTATGCTTACCCTACTCTATACCGTATAAATATAAATCAAACCTTTAACATATCACATCCCGCAAATTTCTAAAGCTTAAACCTGCAAGGTTAGATATCTTAGTATGGTGTGTTAATATTATGTATACTAATCCATATTATATTAACCCTCGGCGTTCCTTCTTTTCCGTGAAGGTGGGGTTTTTACTATAACGTATAACGTATAACGTATAACGTATAACTTTCCCCGCTTTTCTTACACCGAGTGGAGATAAATTGATTTACTTTACTTCTTGCAGATTTCTGAAATGAGTTATTACCGTTCTTGATCTCTTGAAGTTTTTCCTACTGTGGCATATGCTGAGTTGATATATTGCGTTTTAAATGTATTCCCGGTTTTCCTGGTTGTTTTTTTTGTTTGTTGTGGGTGACGTTTGACGTACACTCCCGATCGTCACTTACCCTTTTAGAGTGTACTTCTGTTCTAGTTGGGGCTTGAGACGGTGAATGGATGAGATCAAGGGGACGCCGCTTACGCTACTGGTACCCTTTTTGGTTGTTGGATATATATTCACTCACTCTATTTTCACACGTTTTTCTTGTAGGGTAGTGAATGTAGAGATTGGTTTTATTGGGTTGCTGGTCTTAGAAGGGAACTTTGACTAGATTAGTATTGTTCATCCTTAGATTAGATTACGGTATGTAGATTATGCTGTGTCTCCAATGTGTAGACAGGAACCAGTTGGACAAAATAAGCGGCAGTATTTTTGTTCTGTGACAGGCTAGCGTCAGGAGATGATGATTAATTTCCTGGCGAGAATTCTGCGTCCATAAACTTGGTTTGGTCGGGATAAAAAATGTAGACAGAGGAATAGAAATCAGTTTTCGGAGTCTTTGGAAGGTGACAATAGGATTATGGGACGACCTCAAGAAGGGCATCAATGTGGAAAACGCGATGAACACTCCAAATGCTACCAAAATCACGTAGAGTTCACATCATATGAGACAAGCAATACGAATTTCTCCAATCGATAGCCTTTGTTTATTTTCCCAAATTCGATAACAGTCTCCCTACCATAAGTTGCCTGACTCTAACTCTATCATCTACAGTACAACCAGCAACCAGAGAAAGGAGGCAAAGAGATGGAAGTGGAAGACAAGAAACGCCAAAATGACACCCAATTCAAATAGCCTCCCACCGATCCGCCAACGCCAAAAGCTTCAGTCTAGTCCCCATGATAAATTTGTTCCTCTGATCAACCCCAAGAAACCTCGTACAATATGCCAAAATAATACCCGGAACCTCCAGTGGGACCGCACCACCATTTCCCTCCGAGAACACAGGTGTCCCCTCCGCGTTCTTCACATATGAGATGATAAGAGGGCTCTCCGCCGCAAGACTGTCCAGCATAACTAAATGCGTGGAAGGTTTCTTGTTATATTCGCTCATACTTGGTGAGCCGATGTCAGAACAAGACATACAATTTGCCCATGCAATTAACGCCACTCTATACACTGCACCTGCCCACCACGCAGGTCTACTCCCCTCAGACATCGAACGTATAATTCGCAGGATTTGTCCGCAATGGAAATAGATATTCCTTGTATCCTCAAAGTGATGAGGTTGTTTCCACTTCGAAGGCCGCTTTATAGACGAGTCTTCTCCTCGAGCCATTCTCTCCACCTCGGGGAAAGAAACAAGTGTATTGAGGACGATGAGATGGTATAGCACCATCGTTGCGTTGATGGTAGGTGTGCTTTCCCCTTTGAATACAGATTGTGAAAGGGAATACCATTTTTGCAACAGGTCGCGAGCTTCGTCTAGCCGGACAGAGACTAGGACCATGCTTGTGTAGCGGATGGCTTTGAAGGATTTGTCGTTGCTGTTGCTACTATTGCCGTGGATTCCGGCTATGCTGAGCCGGACTTGGCTCACTAGACTTTGGATGTGGCAAAGGAGTAAGCGGAGAACTGTGGGCGTGAGATCTGTTAGGGAGGTGGGGTTTTCGGTTTCTCGGAATCGGACGATGTATTCGTTCAAGGAGGGAGGGAAGACGTTCCCGCTTTGGAGGTGCGAGTGTGGGAGGGAATGCATCCATTCTTTTGCTGAGGTGGCCCGCCAGGTGGTTGAGGGACTGGAGACTGCGGTGTTGAGGGCCGTGAGGGAGGTGAAGAGAGTTGATGGGGAGTCTTGGAATAGACACATCTCTTGATCGAGCAGGACCCATGAGTAAACCATTCTAGATGGGAGATTAGTGATATTTGTGGCGATTAGTAAAGTAATGATGATCTCACCTGTTGATTGATTCCTGTTCTTTCCATCTCTGCCAGCTATGGTCTAACTCGGTAGCTGAGCCGAGAGTTGAGACGTGGAATTCTCGCCGCTCTAGGAACTTCTCTTTGGATAGCATCTAAACTTTGTTAGAAAATTGTCAATAGAGGGGTGAAAAAATGGTGGTTACCTCCAAGTACATTGCCTTTTGATAAATTGCCATCTAAAGAAAAGTTAATTCCACCACGGAGAAGGCAAAGGCGAGAGAGAAACTCACGTCCATCTGCCACTTATCCCCACTCCAGGCGGCCACGATAATGAACAGCAAAGCGCATTGCAATAATTCCGGATTTGAAACAAGCTTAATATCCTCCTCAAGCAAATAAGATAACGATATCCTTCCAATCTCAATCAGACCATGGGCAATCTGATAAGTATCCCCAGCGCCACTGGTCATCGCTCCTGCAGCCAGCATAAAAAGTAACTTTAAACTCGAAATAACAGCGTTGTTTCCACCCTCCATCAACTTGTTGGTTTTAAGCGAAGCGGCCGATAAAACTGGATAATAAGGTTCGTAACAACTTAGACAAGCCCTCAGAAGTGACTCCAGAACATGAGGAAGTGGAAGAATGAGGAAAAATGGGGCGTTGGCGTCGATCATGGAGGAGGCGTTTTCTTGTTTGGCATTTCGTAAACCATGAATTGTTTGGGCCCGATTAGAGAAGCCTTGCATTATCGCTATAAGTTTGTCCCTCGTTCCAGCAAGAAGTGGCTCGATCGCAACATGATGGTGGTCTGTCAAGCGACACTCGTCAAGAGAAAGGTTCTGGGTGTTCAGTGCCGCGTAAAGGCTTTCTAGGTGGCTTTTTGCGGTTGTTGAGCATGCTGAGGTGGGAACAATTTGGTTGCATCGAAAGAGAGGCCATCCTTCAAGTGCGGGGAATGGTCCATCTGCTGTGTCGATTGGGACTGTCGTCTGGTCAGGAATGATCACATCCATCATCGGGAAGTAATTCTCGGATGGTAAATTAAATGCAGCTGGTGATAATGCATATGTGGAGTGCGTTCCGGAGGATAGTGAAATGTCAATAGATTCGTTAAGTTGGTGGGAGTTAAAATCGTGGTTGATATTGAAATAATCGTTCAGCATGAAAGTGTCTAAAGAGAGACTTGGATCCAGTTCCTGTTTACTGATGTCATGGATATAGTGCATTTCATTGGGGTCTTTCCCAGGTAGGTAATGCTCAATGTATGGCGTATTGTTGAAGTCAAGTTGGAAGCAACCGGTCCCATCATCCATGATTTTGTCGTTGTTCAACTTGACCTTTCTATCGACGTTCTTTTTGACGTCCGAAGTAACTGGGTCTCCTGTTTTTGAGCTGGATGACTCCTTATTCTTTGTGTGTTTGCCATTTCGAGCGTTGCCAATAGACCGACCAGGCCCCCTTTGAGTTAATCGTGTTCGACATTCAATCTTTCTTCTAATACATCGCGCACATGGAAACTGCAGTTTGCGGGGTTCATCAGCCGGCCAACTTCCCAAATCGATTCCCGGCTATGAACGTACCTTTTTCTCGCATTTCGCTTTGGCCTTTGCACAGTCCAGGCAGGCCAGATAACCTTCGGTCGATGATCCTTCATTACCACGAGGAGGAGTGATACAATGCGACATGATAACGAGTACAGTGGAATGGTCTTTTGCCGAAAAGTGCGAGATCCGGAAATTACGAGTCCTGTAGCATAAGAAGACCACTCCAGGTTCCACGTGCGTTTCTATAATCTTTTCACGGACGTTTCCATCCCACCATAAAGTATTCAACACAAAGTAGCTCTAATCTTTAGAGAGGCATTGCAAATGTCAACCATTGACTTCATTCTTTTCTATTTGCGGGCGAATGGCGTTGGAGGCGTGGGGTGCGAATCGTTTACTGGATCGAAATCGATCCTCTGCCAAAATCGGAGACATATCAGGAATAAGCAGGCTGAGGGCGAAGGCTCACCAAAGGAGTAAGCTCACTTGAGCCAGCATCTTTAACTTTGGTATCAGCTTAGCCAGCGATCTGTTAGTTCTTTTGACATCAAGGATGTTGGGTGACACAACGTGCCTCCAATGCTGTAGGAGGCTTGTCGAGCTCCGAGGAGGACGGTCCACCTATTGCGGTTGAACCAAGGAGGCTCTTCTGTTCCCCACTTGTGTCAATAGCCTGGAGAACGCCTGTAACAGCGGTATGCACGCTGACGAGATGGTAGCTAAAGGCTGCCACGTTGTTGCCCGTCTAGACAGCCCTAAAGACCAGGATTCATATTGTTGCCCAGTTCGCCTACCCGTTGGAGAACTTGGCTGCTTCCATATTTTGCTCAATTCTCGTAACAAGTACCCAATTGACTATGCTTGAGCATACAGTAACTTGACTACGCAGCATCCCGTTCTCATCTAACCCAAACTTGTCGACATATATAAGCAGGGCCCGGGAAAATATACGAACGAGCTATACGGCGAAAAAGCGATCTCTATGGTGTATAATCAGGTAAGTCTACATTATACGTCTGGCGCAGCTTACCCTTTGTGGAGAATGCAAATGGAAAATATCAGCGATTGGTAGACGTGGACCAAGAAACCAGAGAAGTTAACTTGCAGGAACCTTGGCAGAAAACCTTCCCAACAGATTTATTTACATCATAAGCTCTTAATTTACTTGGTGGTTAAAGTTAATAATAATGTAACCACTCCATCTGAAGTTCGAACACTCTTTATCTCGGCACAATCCCGACAATTGGCACAGATGGAAGACCTGCAAACTTTGATTGGAACTTGGCGAATCATGGCAATCCCATTAAATGTATGAGTAGACCTGGGAATTGAGGTACCCGGCTCCCACATGGCGAAGTAGGAATTCGTGCGAAGTGCACTACTATCTTGCGCCACAAAATAGTGACTTGGGTACGTATCATAGGATGCCGCTAATTCGTTGACGTGTTTTTGGGACGGTTGAACAATGCTAGCATTTAGGGAGCCTATCTTCGTGTTATGTAGTTGTGCCTTCGAGGATTTATAGCTGCCACTCAGAACTTTCGAACGCCGACACATCCTAATCGAGGTAGATTGATCAGGGACGGGGAGAGCCGAGCCTCACGGGACGATTATAAAAATCCCGTGAAGAATCCCACCAGGAAATCTTGGAAGGATCGTTTGTGGATGTGATCTTTGGGATTCTCAAAAGGGGCCTCACAAAGCTTGGCTCTGGCTAGACGTCTACCCTAACCTGCTTATGGGATACATAGAGACGGGTGGAAAATGTCGTGCAGCAGCCACCTACTAAGGAACTCTCAAGTGAGCTGACAGTAGTGAAAGCTCAAAGGTCATTTTAACGACGTACCTTGTTTCAAAACTCGGGAAATCTGACAATAATGTGGCAGTAGCAAAATAATTGACTTACAGCCAACCTCACAAGTAAGGTTCCTTACTCTGGCAAACGGTCCGAGCTCGAGGACGTGGAATTTGACTGTATTGGTTTTCACGCAGGCCAAAGCCAAAGCCAATGTCTGCGACTTTATATAAAGCCGGAAAAGAGATTCTATCCAACTTCGGACTACTTTGTCCTTCCACAACGCTGCGAGAAGCCGATAAGCTGAGATACAACGAGACAATTGACGCGTATAGCAAGCTGGCAATCAAGCTTGTGTAACCTTCGGGTTGGAGGATAAATCTTACATGGTGGTTGTCAGCTTCCACAGCACCAAACAACACCAACATGTGGAAGCTCACATGGAAGGAATCCGAACTGCAAATATATGCAGATTAATTACCATATTGCGTCAAGAATCACGTGAATCTATAGGTTGAAGACTGGCGGTCTGCAAAGCGTCGGTCTCGTTCATCCAAAATTTCAAGTGGTCAGCCAAACATCCTTCCTACATAGAATGGGACTTGACCAAGCCGACTCGGTTTCCCAATGCGGTTAAGTGTGATTCAACTCTATGCTGCATCTCTTTTCGATATAGATAAGGGAGGTGAGAATGAGAAAATATTTGAGATGGAAGTTATCCTTAAGTGATGAGAATCGCGCAGCGAGAAACGGAGAGCGAGAAACGATCGGCACACAGGCAGTCCCTAGAAAGAGTATGGTGACGAGAACGGGATAGATCATCAGACTCCTTGTCTTCCCACACGTCGGAGACAGCGAGTTTTTAACCTGTATGCAATTATGACTCGTTATACCACGCTGAGTGTACTCTAGCATTAACATACTGTGGCTTGGTTATTGGCTGTTCTCGTACTCGAGCCAATATCCACGTTGGAAGAATAATACAGCATCGTACGGCTTATTTGATGGCCCGACTGATTTCTCGGCTGGCTTGGCCGTTGGGGCAGGCACCGTTCATTCACAGCCGCCTGAAAAATACTCATTGAGTGTGCGAGTCTTGATCATCGAGCTGGGTAACGAGCCTGACTAGTCTCAATATCAATTTAAAGTGTCGTGTAATACAGCGTCAAGGTATGCTCCTTCAAGTCGAGATTTAGAGAGCATGGGCTTAAGAGATGGTGAAAATAAGATTGAATTGATTGTAAGGTGCTGCTGATCTGGCTCTGGTCAATCAGCCACCATTATAGGTTTCCCCGCCCCCTTTGTAGATATATGTACTTGGGGGTAGCAGGATTTGCGGGGCTAGTGGAGTGGGGGAGGACGAGGGGGTAAGTAAGTGATGCGATGGCACTTTCGGATTGTACTGTACTTGAGTACAGTACTCGTACCTGGTATCGTAAGCCCCAACGCAGCCTGACTCAGGGGTGTAAGGCACATCCGTCACCGTTGATGTCTTACCGAACGCTACTGTAAACAATGATTTGCCGGACCCGATCGGTAGTCACAGCCGATGTATCCAACGAGCCAACTTGATGGCCACCCGGGCCACCCATTTGATGTTGATAAAGTCACGTGTTTTCAATGTTCATTCGCCCTTTTGGGAATCGGCTTGTTATTGAATGACCGTCCGTTCCAACTCCGTTCACATCGTCAACCTCCAAACCCTCTTTCGGACAATAAAGGGTCCCGATTCATTGATGAATTCTGACTCAGCATATTCCATTTACCAGACTTCCAATTCTTAGAGAGTTAATTGTTCAGTTACGGTATGGTAACTTTAACTGGGGTTCAAGTGCTCCCTTGTGCTTGCGTGATTGCACCTTGGGAATCATATCTTCTTTCCCATCTATCTAGACATTGCCGTTTAGAACTTATATACTCTTGTTTTCCTTTGCTATTATCACCTCTCCAGATTTTCTCGTGTCTTTTGGTAATCTTCTAACTTTCTAGAACCATAAAACTTCTTATTCCGTCACTTGTGTAATTCTCATCCCCTGCATTTCAGCCATGTCTCACGATCCAGGACAGGCGGTCGAAATGGCCGACAACAATAAAGAAATCCCAGCCTACGATAACGAATTTGGTAGAGATATCCTTCAAAATTCTAGGAGTGCATCACAAGATGAAATACTCTCTCCTGCTATCGATATACCGCCTCAGACACCACCTGCCAGGACTATAACGGGGGTGTCTTGGGGGATTGTGGTGGCTGCTGTTCTTTCGTCGACGTTCCTCTTCGCTATCGACAATACCATTACAGCCGATATCCAGCCCGCGATTGTCCATCAGTTCAATGATACAGGCAAATTGTCATGGATTTCGGTGGCATTTCTATTGACTTCGGCTGCAATGAATCTACCATGGTAAGTATCTTTCACGATGAGTGTATAAAGGATGAGCTGACTCAATTACTCACAAGGGGAAGATGCTATGGTCATTTCGAGGCTAAATGGCTTTACATTCTCTGTATTGTGATCTTCGAAGTTGGCTCGGCTTTGTGTGCGGCAGCGCCAAGCATGGAAATTCTTATAGTAGGACGTGCGATTTGCGGCATTGGAGGCGTGGGGATGTAAGCGAAATATTTCTCCTCCATTCTGGCTCTACTAATATTTCTCTCAAGGTACATTGGTGTTATGACTTTACTATCCGCTTTGACCACGATCGCTGAGCGTCCAGTTTATCTGGCTTTGACGGGAGCTGTCTGGGGGCTGGGAACAGTGTAAGTTTGGGTGTTATCAAGGCTTCTTGTTACGGTATACTAATACTCTATAACAGATGCGGACCTTTTGTCGGAGGGGGGTTTGCAGATAGCAGCGCAACCTGGAGATGGGGATTTTACATCAACCTGTGCATTGGCGGTCTGTTCTCCCCGGTCTATCTCTTTATTCTTCCACGTGTCGACCCAAGAACTGGTGCTACCTTTGCTCAAAGAATTATTGAAATCGACTGGGTTGGTGCCACTTTACTCGCTGGGACGTTGGTATCCACAATCATGGCAATCTCCTTTGGTGGAGTGGTTTACGAATGGAATGGCAAACAGACCATTCCTCTCTTCGTTGTCGGAGGCGTTCTTTTCATCATGACAATAATTCAGCAAATATTCGCCATCGGAACCACAAAAGAGCGACGGATTTTCCCAGTACAATTTCTCAAGTCGAAAGAGATGGTCATCCTATTCATCGAAACGGCTTGTGGCGGAACCAGTATATTCGTCCCAATTTATTTCATCCCATTATTGTACCAATTGGTAAAAGGGGACTCGGCACTGAAAGCGGGGCTACGCTTGTTACCATATATCATGCTTATGATAACATTCGTCATGATCAACGGCTGGGGAATGGGTCGCTTTGGTTATTACATGCCGTGGTTTACTTTTGGCTCCGTATTGGTCATTACAGGTTCTGCCCTTCTCTATACCGTCGATCCGAGCACGAGCGATAGTGCAATCTACAGCTACACTGTACTGATTGGTATCGGCGCCGGTTCTTTTAGTCAAGCACCATTCTCGGTTGCACAAGCGCTCGTTGCCCCCGAGGTTCTTTCTCAGGCCATCAGTTTCATTTCTAGTGCCCAAATAGGGGGTGCCACTATTGGCCTCACTATCGCCAACGCCGTCTTTCTCAATACCGCCCAAAATGATATTGCAAAGGCTCTACCAGGTGTGGATCTCAAATACATTCAAGGACTTATTGCAGGAGTCGGAGGCTCTTTCTTTGATAGCCTTCCGCAATCTGTGCAAATACAGGTTGTAGCTGACATTGTGTCAAGTTTTAATAAGGCAATTGTTATTGCTATGGTTGCCGGAGCTCTTGCGTTGGTTTTATCTCTGTTCATGAGGAGGAATAAGTTGGATTTGTCTGGGGTCCCCCAAGTGTGAATGGGAGAATCACAAGAAGATGAGGAATAATATTTGAATAGACCTGATAGATTCGGAACGTTTCGGGATGTTGGTTTAATGTAGTAGTGGAAATAATACCTAATTGGTAGGATCTAGGTAGTCAATATGTTAGAAATGGTATCATATTTCCCTTGAATATTTCATCATCAGGCAATAATTGTGTTTCTTAGCCAAATAACAAAGTGATATCGTTTTTTTGCTACTCTCGTTCTAATCCAAACCAGACCCCGAAAAGCTATTTTTTCCAACCCAAAGCCCTCACTTGTGTAACCGAAGTGGGTCCAGCCCCTGAACTATCCACACACGTGATCACGTCACCCGAATTTTAAAATGCACGGCAACTGCATATGCATACTATTCTGACAGCATAAAGCTGTACGAGTGAGATTCCTAGGTAGGATAGAGTAGCGTAGAAGCCCAGAATGTCCCAACACAAGCCGATCACGGACGCATCTTCATGCATGCATAGCGAAGCGGAGATTAAAAAAAGGACAGCGAGAAAGTATTTGCATTCAACCGTTCAATTTTATATAAAATCGTTTGTTTCATAGTGAGCTAGCTTTTAAAGTAATGGCGGGTAAGGCTAAGAAACGAGACAGATTCCTAAAAAAGTCATTGCAGACGGGAAGGCTCCTTCCTTTTATATTGTTTGGGAAAGAGTTTGATTGGCGGGTCCAAGTATAATGTGGTAAAATGTTTCTGAGGTTGGTCAGATTAGATGCCTATTTCTATGCTTCCTTTCTTGCGTCTCTCTTTCTTGTGAAACTCACAGGACTGAGAGGGGTGTCAGCATTCTATGTGCCGGCCGCGGGCTGAAAAGCTCATAGGACAAGAATTTCTAAAGTCTTTATTTTCGACATGTCAATAAGCTCTTTTGGTGCCCTGTGAGGAAATTCAAATCGAGTTGGTCAACAAATTGTAGCTAGTTCTTAGTCTACGGTTGAAGGCACATAGATGGTAAGCTGATCATGATGGTGCGTTCGAAGTTTCCTTTCTGTTGGGTCACCCGTGTTGGACACGTATATCCTGATAGGAAGAGCTGATAAGCGAATGAGAGACGAGAATATACGATCGCAACCGGCGTTTCTATAGTTCCGAAAACCGATATCTCTCTTGGTTACCGTGGAAGTAACAAAACAAAGGCTTCAACTTCATTCGATAGATAAGAGGTTGTATTCGAAAACAAGCACGACATGCATGCATCATCACTAAAATCCACCGGTGTTAAGAGGCATGCGACATGTTGTGCTTCCGTTGGTGTTTTAATGATGTGACCTCCCGTGAGAGCTATAACATTCAATTTCCTACCCCCACGTAATGTTGATCATATACTCCGACAGAAAAAGGATAGATCTTCATTAGCGGTGATAACGAGACTCGCTGAATTCAACGACTTGAAAGGGTGCATGGCTGTATGTAAGCCTTTCTCCTTTTCCTTTGGAATCTTTAGATGCAGCTCGGGGGGCGTGGGTTTCTGTTATATGTCCACTCAACCCCTAGAAAGGCCAGAAAGTGTGTTCTTGGAGTGAAGCCATAACAGGGTCTTTTTGAGGCTCGTCTCCTTGGCATATTTTTGGTCGCTTTCGCTCTTTGTATGGCGGATTACTGCAAATGCGGATCGCTTTACTACACATTCAAGGTACAAGTTTTCTCTAGGATGGAAGTGACAGACACTTTGAAAATAGGAGTTGAATTCCACTGTAGGTGGATCTGAGGCTCCCCAATGATACCAAGAGCGACAGAAAATGTGTTTTTCTTTGCCGCAAAACTTTTAAATCGTTCTTCGTGTGGTCCAGGGAAGTTACAGTGCAACAACCGACCCAACCCAGATAACCAGATTGATAGCTGGGTATTATTCATTTCAGAATGATAACAACAGAACTACATAAAAATATTTTTGACATCCATTAAGAACATGGCTACCGACTTGACTGTCTACATTGGGTTTTCTCAAGCCATGCTCATTTCCTGAAGATGATCTAGAAGTATACAGTGAGTATGTCATCAAGCAATATATATAAACCGAAAAATGGAACCCATATTAGCAGACTTTTCAACGTTAAGATCAATTCAAGTATCAAAAGTAGTGTGAACCCAACATAATTCATTTTGATTTTACAGTTGAATCTCGCTAACCAGATACACAGATGCAAATCTGAGTGTCATCATAGGTAACTTTCCATCCACGGTTACCACTTCTCCCCGATTTAGTGGTCCTCAGCATAATCGTGCGAAAGCTCACCCAGCTCAAGCTTGATCTCCTTCCCTCCAATTGGCTTCATAGGCGCGATGTCCAGAAGGATGAAAAGTGCACGAGCACACTTGTCGGGAGAGGTGTTTCTCCACGTATGAAGGGCATTTCGGTTCACAAGAACATCGCCCCGACGCATGATTCTCTTCTCTCCACTATCAAGCTCAACCTCAAGCTCTCCCTCAATCACAGTTCCATAATCCAAGGACATGGCACGGTGGATGGGCGACTCGATTCCGGGTGCGAAATCGATCATTCGGACCAAAGTACCATTTGGAACGTGGAGTCCCGGCTAAAATATTTCAGTTAGTCATATTCCACTTCCACCAATTCTGTGGTTTTTTTCTGGGAGCAGGGGAGGGACTTACAGGTTCCTTGGCAAACTTTAGATCAGCATCATCGTTCAGGTCGATTTGAGCCTCCTTGGTTGTATAGATGATGCTGTAAACGCCACGGCCATTTCCCATCAAAGCATGGTGGTCTCCACTGTCTGATGGGAGGAAAACACCTTCCCCGTTTGCGTCATGGGTTGTGATGTAGCGCTTTATTTCAGGAAGACCCTCTCCTGGAAACTTGGTGAATGGTCCAGGTTCGTTGTACTTTGGATCATAGGTAGGGGTCTTGATGGGAGCCATTTTCACGGGTGAAGATGTTTTCAAATGATTCCAAGATGAGTCAAAGAGGAGAAATGGAGTTAATGAAGAACTAAAAGCTTAGAAAGATGTTTCTCGACGTTTTGTACTTTCTGTATGCTACCAGCTTATTATTTATGTGAAGTTCTGCTTCAATTAATCAAGTTCCCCGGCATTCTAAAGCAGTCATCGTCAACCTCAATCATCGCCGCCCGTCGCTAGTCTACACCGCTTTAGGTGAGAGTGAATTCCGAATTGATATGCTACGGAAACTTACTTTTCTTGTGTTGTTATTCTTGCTTCGGAATTCCGGAAAACGCGATAACTTCAGGTATTTCTTAGTTGGGTTTTTGTCTCAGTCAGACGCATTCAGTGACAGGGCTGGGTGAGAGCTGCTGCAAGCCCTCGCTTAGCTCACTGCCCCTGACCTAAACGCCATATGCCAGCCTAGCACACGCTTTGGTGGTACAAGATGTCCGATAAAGGATCCGTATTTGCAAAATGCGCGAAGGAATTCCTGTAAGACCAACATTGCAGCGGTCTCAGAGAGCAAGACGGGTATGCATTCGTTCGTCGAACTATGATGGGATACCAAATTCCGAGTGCATGTGCGACGAATTTAAACATGAGTACGGCCGCACTTGCATATCGACTAGTGGCAGGAGCATAATGTCGCGATCAGCCCAATGTAAAGCCTATTGACCAGAATTATCTCTGTATATCTCGTATTGGTCTGATTACTCTTGGCGGTCTTACTTTAACGAAATGTTGTGTTTCTGATGACATGTGGGGAGCACGCTTCTTCCTTCCCAATGCTAATCCTATGATTCATTGTCTAATCAAGGTAATATGACGTTGTCTTGTTGCTACGAAAACCTTGCATGAGACCATGACATGCGATAGAAACATTGTAATCGAGATGGTTCGGGATTTGTTTGCGGCGATGGCTCTATGGGGACTGAAGAAACCTCGGGGTTTCTATCTCAAAGACCTTCTGCGAGAAGGCATACTCATGGGCCACATATGTCAAAAGATTAAGCAAAAATATTTCGGTCGGCTACAAGTTGACTACATGAAGGTTTCACTAAATCTTAGCACCTTAGATTTGTAACAATTCTGTTATCCTTCCAAGTGGTATAAATAGATCACAATTTGATTTAGGGCAATTTTACCGCTCTGGCAGAGAATGCAAAGTCTTATGAATCGGCAATATTCCAAAGTCCTTAAGCTAAAAGTATATTCAAATGTTTCGTTGGGTTATTTCTAGGCAAAGATCACACCAAAATATGAGAAATATGCCCGAGAGAAACTAAATCCTTTAACTCTCCTACAAAATGTAGATATTGAGTATCTCGGGCATTATACCCTTTAAGAGTCCTGAGGATAGGAAGGCAATTGATTTGAGAGACTAGAACGATAAGAAATAAGTGATCCAGGAGAGTTGAGGGAAAGTGATAAATAATAAGACAAAATATTCCAAAGCATCCTGATATAGATAGAAAACAACATTTCTGGAAACCTGTGAGCCAGAAGTAGATCGTTGAAAGCCTAATACGTAGAACCGGGTAAATGGCTCGAGGGCCCCTAATTCCAATGGTCAATGACCAGCTAGCTACCTCTTAATAACTTTCGATTCCACCGTTTTCTACAGATTCACCTACTGCGACTTTCACACTCCGGGGTGATGTTTCGCGCTTAGTAATCATAACCCACATCTTATCCTGCAAAAACATGGTGAAATTTGTGCTCCTCCAAGGGGCAGCAGGATACATAAGAGCAAAATCGAATCTTCTCAGCATCTGCAAAAGAATTAGTGATGGTCCAATATCTGAATAGAGAAAATACGTACCTCAACAAAAACTTTATCCAACTCAGCTAACACAATTGCCTTACCCAAGCATCCCAATCTCCCAGATCCAAACATCAACTCCATAGTTCTCGTCATCTCCTCTCTATGCCCCTCAGTCGCTTCAGTCCATCTTTCTGGTCGGAAAACATCAACATCTTTCCCGAATATTGGGTGTCTCTGGACGGCCCAAGCGCATTGTCCGATATGAGTGCCTCCTGGCACGAATCGTCCTTTGATGGTCTCGCCTCCTGGGTTAACGATCTTGGGAAGTAATCCAGTGATGGGCGGGTGGATTCGTAGACCTTCTTTGATTACGGCTTGGACATAGGGTAAGGTTTTGGATTCTGCGGAGGTGATGGGAGAGGAGATTTGGCCTTTGGATATGGCATCTTCTATTTCGGTAACCATGGTGTTGTACACGCGTGGTGTGCTCATTATGTGGAGCATGGTAGCACGAATAGCTGTGGCTACTGTGTCCGAACCAGCGACACTGAAAGGTTCAATATATGACTTGCTTGGTTAGTATTTGAGAGAATATTATAAACTTACATTGTTGTTAAGATTTCCGATTCGGCGTGACGCTGATCCAACCCATTGCGAAGGAAAGACCCAAGCATATCAGCCTTTTCAATCTTATTGGGACCGATACGTTCCGAGACGACTTCTTTCGCTATCCTAAATTACGTCAAAAATTGTGATAGCCATGAAAGCCCAAGATCAGTCTCACCCCATTAATTTCCCTCGTCCAGTTTGATCTTTTGCACTGGTTGGCCAAAGGACGTTCAATAAACCACTTCCAAAAACAATTTGTCCAAGCGTAGGAGTATTTGCACAAAATGTCGCCAACGGAAGTTCCGTCTCAACTATCTTGATGAAGCCATGCATATCTTTGTCTGCCGTCAAGTAACCAAAAGCTTTCCCAAACGCAATACTCGTGATTGCATCGAGGGAGTAGTACTGTGCGGTACGAGCGAAATCGATAGGTTTCACTTCCGCAGTCGTGGAAACATATTTTCGCTCGATCAGATCAACAAGAGACAAGATTTGGGAGTCGATTTTGGGACCAAGATCTTTGTTTTCTTTCAGGGAATACTTTCACTGGTTAGCTGGAAAATTCAAGGGGTGGTGTTGACATACCCCTGCTTGCATTTTGGCTCTCAGTTTATCATGTTTTTCTAGGCTGGTCTCGGATAAGACGCTATGCACGTATGGATCGACTTTGAGGGCCTGATACCAATTCGACTTTTGATGTTTGTACTTTGCGGCACTCATGTAACGGATGACCTCGGGGTCACTGGTCATCAACCAGTTGGGTCCAACTCGTGCGAAGTCCCCTGCGTCGATAAACATTGTATCAGTTCATTATTTCATTTCCGAAGAGAAAAAGTCATTTCAAGGAACAGATTACATACCATATTCCTTGCAGACGTCGTAAAGTTTCATGTGCACATCCCCTGAACTAGTTGCTCCAAATAACCATGCTTCCGAGAAGCTCGCCAACCATGGCCCTTTGAACATACGGAGTTTGTACCAAGCTCTAACATAATAACCAACTATGATAGCTACAGCTATTGCAGAGAGTACAATTGGATTCGCGAACGCCGAAGTGATCCATGATCGAGACGTGCCTGTCATGTTGTTGAATTTAGGAAATTGTTGCTCATAAGATCAGATCGATCTATTCTTTCTAAACGGACCTTTAGTCAAGGTTATACTATTCTATCTTTTTTGGAATTGGAAGCGTCGTTCGATTAAACATAAGCTAGATGGACATTCGATATCTGGAGTATTCCATGACACCATTACACGGGGAGGAAGTTCCTCCCGTCGTAACACTCAACACCGGAATACCGGTCTACTTCGAAAAGATCCAATGAGTCTATTGGTCCAGGGTTCGCGAAAACAGAGGGTTTTAAGTCGCTTGTGGCTTGACAAGCTGGACTTGTTGGGTCAGCTCAGCTCCTGCCACGAGTGGTAAGCTTACCTGCCACCAACTGGATAGATACGGGATCACCAAGAACGCCCACGAAACACAGATAGCTTAGTTTGATGTTTATTCATCTAGGCAGGATTCAGGAACGGGTTATGGTGGGATACCTACTCTTTTCCAGTAAATCAGAATCCAGACAGCAAATACTGGGTAAGAGGGGAGGTGTTTGTTTGGTCGATCTTTGTGGCGGTAGCACAGTTAAGAACAAGAATTCAAACGAAGTTCTAAGATCAAGCCAAAAGTTATATCGTATTCAGCTCCTAATAATTAAGGTACTAGAGGAGGCAAGCATGGTCTTTTCGCAAAAATAGCAGCATGTTTCGCGACCCCAGAACCTGTGGAGATAAGCAAGTCATATAAAAAGTACTTTGAAATACCCTATGACACACTAGTAGATACCCTAGAATCTTGCTACTTCTGCGAGGGGACTGTGTCTATCTCTAAGCCCGATAGTCTAACAACCAATAACTTGAGCTGTGAAAGATCAAGTGAATCCAGGATCTATCACAATCATCATCTCTACTAGTATAGGAAAGATAACTCTGATATGCTGAATTGGTGACAGTGGAGGTCTTATTTACACATAAAAATATCCGTGGGGCGAATGGGCAGGATTGATTGGTTGAAACTTGTCCCGAGGTTTTGGCGGGCGGTGTTCAACACGACCATGAGTGTCGCGAACCTGGATCGCGTCAAGCACTTCGCTCGCGAGATGAGATTCACACGCACACGCACACCACAGCCTATTGAGACACGATGGTTACATTGGTTCCTAGCATATAGAAACGGCGTTGGCGAATATACAATTTATATCTTCATTTGCAGCGTCGTTCCTCCATCCACGATGAAACCTGTTCCCGTCACGTAGCTCGATTTCGGGCTGCTCAAGAAGAGGATCACATCTGATACCTCCTCTTGAGTCGCGATTCTTCCTGCGGGAATAGCTTTGACCAGAGCAGCAAAGAATTCCTGCTGCTCAGCGAACGCGCGATCGACCATGGGCGTCTCTACCCATGATGGGCAAACAGCATTTACGCGAATCCCGTACGGCGATGTGTCGAGGGCAGCAGTCTTCGTGATGCCCATGATAGCGTGTTTGGCAGCCGTATATTGGACGATTGCTGGTGTCGCAACAAAACTATTGCCAGATCCAAGATTTACGATGCTGCCACGGCCCGCATCGCGTGGTCCGGTCCTTCCCTCTACCACCTTCGGTTCCTGGTTTTTCATCACTTGGCTGACCTCTCGCACACACAGCATGGTGCCTTTGACATTGACTTCGAAAAAGGCCTGGAATTCGTCAATCACCATATCGGTGACGGGCCGTGGTTGCTGAACCCCTATCTACATCTCGGTTATCAGCAAATACATCCCCGGATGGATATTGCAAAACACTTTGGAAATCCTTTCAAACTTACGCCAGCACTATTGACACTGTAATCAATACGCCCGAATTCCTTCTTTGCAATTTGGACCATCCTGATAACGCTCTCTTCACTGCTCACATCGACCTCAATGGCGATCGCGCGGAAGTTGGGATTCGTAGCTTTCGCTCTAGCATCATGAGCGGCGCTTTGGGCGGCAGCAAGGTTCAGATCAGCGAAGCCTACACCAGATGCACCTTCAACTGCAAAGGCAATCGCACAATCGCGGCCGATGCCACTTCCTATAGATATCTGAGTCAGCATGAGAGATCCTCATTGTGAAAGTGGTGAAGATTAATCTAAGAGGGCAGAAAGGCGGAGAGCAGAAAAATTGGCATACCTGCCCCTGTAACGAGTGCGATTCCGTCAAGCTTCATTTTGTGTTGTCAGATTAATGAACCGCTTTCTGGTCAGCGACCCCACGGCATCATATAGATATGTCAAGTACGTAGATACTCAGCATGCTGTGTTCTACGGTATGCCCGTCAGGGTGTCTGTCAGCAACGGCTCCGATGCAATACCGGAACACCGCACCCAGACGGGTATACATCTTCGAGATGGATTAAGAATGTGGCGTTGAGGACCATGTCGTTCTATTTCTTTGACATCGTTTATGTCACGACCAGAAATTTGCGAGATGTTAGATGCGTCATTCTAGTGTTGTAGGACAATTGAGGAAAGTAGTCCCGAAGCTTTTGGTAATCATCTGGATTGTCCTAGATGATCTGGGATGAGGGGACCATGTAGTACTGTACGGGGTGTTTACGGCCATTCTTTTGTCTAATTGGACTCATCCTAGCCAGCGATGCGTAAGAGGCTCTTCGGCGCAAGCCGCTCTTTCCCTTGCTATGCGGCTGAAGACGGGAAGCTGATTCGCCATGCACAAAACGTTCTCACACGTGGGACAAACGTGTTTCATTTCATCTCACATCAATTCTATTGGGAGTAGGGAGGTTCTTCGTCTCTTCTAGATCTACCGATGTCCACCTGGAGGAATGGATCATTCGATTCACACAGCCACGATAATCATAGATTCGTTTCACAAGTTTCAAATTGAGATTTTGTGGAGAAGCGGGATACGAAATATTTATTACATAAGCTTGTTTCTAGTGGAGTTTTACGCTAGGGGAAGGGCGGGCCAATTGTCCAAGGTTAAACATTCGTCCAAACAACCAATCCTATCAATGTTAGTATCACATAACATCACCATCTTACTGACATTTATTAAAATGGTAACTTACCCAGGTCGTGCGAGGCAGGAGTGCATCTATCATTCTGATTGTCCCTGAAGACGCTCCGAACCAAAACCATGCTGTTGGCGATTTCTTAAGTATCTCCTTCACGACGCCCTCGGCATATTGAGTTGGTGTAATGGCATCTGCAGGCCATAATCAGTAAACATACGGTTTCGAAGGCAGCCAGAAACGTACTAGGAGTTCGGTGAAGATGGGCCTGAAAGGCTTCATTCATTGGATAATATACCGAATCTGAGAGCAGTGAGCATGTTAACCATAATGCCCTCGAGCTATTGTACCTTCGGATAAGGATCTCCCATGATCACTTTTCAAGATGTTAGTGCTAACCTCTCCTGAAATGATGTTCACTACTCTGACGCTACACTCAGTTAGCGATCAGCCTCTAAAGCTACTGTAGTTGACGAGTTCTCACCCAAAAGGACGCATTTCTACTCTCAATGTGTTTCCGTAGTGATGTAGCGCAGCTTTGCTTGCATTATATGAAGCTCCATACACAAATGGGCAGATTCCTCCGATGGATCCTATGTTTACCACCACACCCTTTGCTTCAATCAACATGGGATGAAGGAAGTGAACAACACGCATCGGTCCAAAAACGTTCACTGCAAACATCTTTTCAACATTTGCAACCTTCGTATCCGTAGCTGGCATAGTATAACCTTCAATCGTTAATGAGTGCATGCGATCGGCGGGAAACTTCAACTAACATATTCCCCTGGATTTTGTAGTTAGCCACCTTACACCGAACCGGAATTTGTGACATACGCATTATTGATCAAAATATCCAATCTCCCCCCAGTGAGTTTCTGGAGAAATCTTTTGAGTTCTTGGACGCTATCATCCTTTGTGACATCAGTTCGAACGACGTGGACGCCTCGAGAGGTGAGATGCTCGTCCGATTCGTGCGGTAGGAGTGTTGAAATGACCTCGATGTCTGTAATTTACTTAACACAACCAAATCTGCAAAACAGTAGAACACCCACTCTCGTCTCGCAGCCGTGCGGAAAGAGCATGGCCTATTCCTCCACTGCCGCATCTACCCAGATTGTTAGTAAGTTCACCCTAGATGCAAATTTCAAGAAGCGATAAATTTACCCAGTGATGAGAGCAAACTTCTGTTGCATCATGTTCTTTTGGGCCGCTTGTTCTAGTTGGATCTTGAAGGTGACAAGGGTTCTCTTTGCTATTTAAACATTTTTTTTCCAAATGTACAGCTCAGCTAGAAAAGAAGACTTTCTCGATCGATTCTCCGGAATTCCGACTTGGGAAGCGTTCCCTTTTCTCAAGATAACGCTTTAGTAAGATCTCCAAGTCCATTCTCCACCAGTCCATGTATCTAAGCGAATTCCGCTTACCACTTTGCCTCAGCCGTCTTACAGACCGGATTCCTATTATATTTTCCTCCTTTGACAGAAAATAGTAATCCATACAGGATATCCGTTACCATTCCGGTGAGGTTCAATGATTTTGTACGGATCCCGATGCACACTTTGATTCTGACCTCAGCCCCGATCTAACTCGTCTAAAGATATACGCAGCGATATGGTCTTATAGAATATATACCCCACCAGGAGACCAACAACTCTTTCTTTCGGCACCAAGATTCTCTCTCTCATGAAAGACGCAGACCCAGGTTAGAACCAACCTGTCAACGAGGAATATATACATACACTATACTATTTTCTCTTATCATTACTCTCGTCAATCATGGCTCCTTACCTCCAGAATGATCCTCCCTCAAGCGGGGATGTCTCCGGTGCATCATCGCCTCCTTTAATGGCCAAGTCTCTTCAGGAGACAGAGCCAATTGCCATCATTGGAATGGGTACGTGAAGCCGCTTTTTTGGAGACTTGAGTACGATTCTAATATTTTGAAGGATGCCGACTGCCAGGAGATGTCAGATCCCCCATTGATCTCTGGAAACTCTTGGTAGCAGAGCAATCTGGACAATGCGATGTTCCTGCATCCCGATGGAACATCGACTCTTTCTACCACCCTAATCTTCAACGCCCTGGAAGCATGAACACCAAGGGTGGATACTTCCTCAAGGAAGACATTCGAAACTTTGACAATGGTTTCTTTGGAATAAACAACATTGAAGCGACCTTCATGGATCCGCAACAACGCAAGCTTCTCGAAGTCTGCTACGAATGTTTCGAGAGTGCTGGCGCTCCTCTTGAGAAAGTATCTGGTGCTAACATTGCCTGCTACGTTGGCAATTTCACTACGGATTATATGATCATGCAAGCGAAGAACTCGGATAACTTCCATCGATACAACGCTACCGGTATGGGGACGACTATCTTGTCAAACAGAATTAGTCACGTCTTTAACCTTCTCGGTCCTAGGTGAGCTAAGACCAAATTTGCCCTGTGAAGAATATACTAAACCTAAATAGTGTTGTTCTCGATACCGCTTGTTCTTCTTCTCTCTACGCCGTTCAGTAAGTTCACATTTCCATGCCCTATCTCTCAATATAAAGGGGGAAAACACTGACATAGAACTTAAAGCATGGCCTGCGCCGCTCTCGATGCGGGCGAGTGTGATTCTGCAATTGCTGCTGGCGCCAATCTGATTCAGTCACCAGAGCAACATTTGGGTACAATGAAGGCTGGTGTGCTTTCCGGTACATCTACCTGCCACACTTTCGACGCCTCCGCAGACGGTTACGGAAGAGCTGACGGTATTGGTGCTGTTCTCCTCAAACGACTAAGCAAAGCTCTCGAGGACAACGACCCAATCCGAGGTATCATTCGTGGTTCAGCTGTCAATGCCAACGGAAAAACCAATGGTATCACGCTTCCAAGTGCCGATGGACAAGAGGCAGTCATCCGAAAAGCCTATGCTAAGGCCGGCTTGGAGCACGTACTCAACGAGACCGCATACGTTGAGTGCCACGGAACTGGTACCCCAGTTGGAGACCCAATTGAAGTCGAAGCTGTCTCCAGAGTCTTCAAGAAGAGGCTTGCAGGCAACCCACTTCTTATTGGGTCCGTCAAAACAAATATGGGTCACAGCGAAGCTGCTTCTGGATTCTCAAGCATGTTCAAGGTTGCGTTGGCCCTTGAAAAGAGCACTATTCCTCCAACTATTGGTGTTAAGAATGTCAATCCCAAGATCAAGACCCAGGAATGGGGCGTCAAGATTGTTACTGGACAAACAGAGTGGCCTTCAGAGAACCCAGAATTCAGCTTGTCAAACCCAACACGAAGAGCTGGAATTAACTCCTTCGGATACGGAGGAGCTAACTCCCACGTTATTCTGGAATCTGCACAAAACTTCATGCCAGCCAAGAGCGGCCCATCATCTGAACGATTATCTCAGTTGAGACCAACATTCATTCTCCCTATTTCTGCCAACACCCCTGCATCTTTAGAGGGACAAATCAAGAACCTCTCATCCGTCGATATGGGCGAAGTCAATGTCGTCGACTTGGCTTACACACTTGGCGCACGCCGCTCCAACCTATCTACCAGAGCTTTCACTTTGGCTGGACAGAAGACCCTCAAGGAAGATCTCAGCCCGGACAGCATTGTATATATGGGCGAAAAGTCGTACTCGAAGCTCCCTTTCGCTTTTGTCTTTACTGGGCAAGGTGCTCAATGGGCACAAATGGGCAAGGAGCTGATCGAGGAATTCCCTTCGTTCCGCCGCAGTCTTGTGGTGTTGGACAATGTTCTCCAAACTCTACCACATGCTCCAACATGGACTTTGCGACAGGCCATTCTCGATACTAAAGATGTCTCAAAAATCAACCATGTCACTCGTTCGCAGCCTGTCTGCACTGCTATTCAAATTGCCTACGTTCAATTACTCTCCAAGTGGGGCATCAAGCCCGATGCAGTCATCGGTCACAGTTCTGGTGAAATTGGGGCCGCCTTTGCCGCCGGTTTCCTCACAGCAGCTGAAGCGATAATTGTAGCATACTATCGTGGATATGTTGTGGGAGAAAGCAATAACCCTGTACCAGGAGCCATGGTGGCTGCCGGTCTTGGAAAGGAACAAGCTCAAGCTGAGATTGACGCTCTTGGTCTCTCTAAGGCTATCAGAGTTGCTTGTATCAACTCCGCAGAAAGTGTGACCATCAGTGGAGATGCATATGGAATCGACAAACTTCTCGCCAAGCTGCAGGAGGCTGGCACGTTTGCTCGAAAGCTCGCAACAGATGGAAGAGCCTACCACTCTCATCACATGTCTCTTCTTGGACAGGATTACGAGGACCTTCTCGAGCAAAACTTGCCAAGTGTTCCACAATCAAAGAAAGAACACACCGCGCAATGGATCTCGTCGGTCACTGGAGAAGCTGTTTCTGGAAAGGTTCTCCCAAGCTACTGGCGTGCCAATTTGGAGTCTCCAGTCCGCTTTAGCGACGCTGTTGAGGGTGTTCTCAAGATCGCCAAATTTCACATGATTGAATTGGGTCCTCACTCCGCCCTTGAGCTTCCGATCAAGCAAACCAAAACCAAGTTGAACGTCAAGGCAGATGATGTCCACTACTCTGCAGCCCTTACTCGAGGAAAGAATGCTGTCACTTGTGTGTTGAACATGGTCGGCCAACTTTATCTGCACGGACACAACGTCGACTTTGCCCAAGTCAACTACGTTGAAGCATCGACAACTTCGAAAGCTTCTCATAACTCTCCATATGCTCAGCCCCAAGGCAAAGTTCTTCCAGATCTGCCTCCATACGCATGGACTTATGAGAACCTTCTATGGAATGAGTGCCGCTCAAGTGTCGAGTTCAGAGAGAGGAAGTACCCTCACCATGATCTTCTTGGTTCTCAAATTCCTGGTGGCAATGGCTTGCAAACATGTTGGAGAAACATTCTCAAGGTTGAAGACGTCCCATGGTTGAAAGATCACAAATTGGAAGAGACAGTCGTCTTCCCCGGAGCTGGATATGTTGCCATGGCTATTGAAGCTGCGACTCAAGTTGCCGGCAAGACCGTCGCAGATGCTCCATCTTTCAGCCTTCGCCATGTTCAAATTCTCAAGGCATTTGTTCTTTCTGCTGATGCAAATGATGGAGGCGCCGAGATCTTCACCACTCTCCGTCCCATGGCAATCTCAGGAACAACCAACTCTAAGAACTGGTGGGAATTCGAGATCACCAGTTTCAAGGATGGAATTTCCACCACTCACGCGGCTGGAAAGATCAGTGTCGAGGATACTTCAGATAGCCTCAAGGCCTCGATTCTGCCTTCTGCCATAGATCTTGAACCTCTCGCCATGCGAAACTGGTATGGACAATTTATCAAAGTTGGTCTCAACTTCGGTCCAGCCTTTACATCCATCAAGGAAATCCAGACTCCAAGATCCAAGACTGGCAGACATGCTATCGCAAAGACACAGCTCCTTCAAGGAGGCGGTGAAGGAAAGACAACTCAATCCCAATACATTATTCACCCCATTACCATAGATGCTATGTTGCAAGCTGGTATCATTGCCGGAACATCCGGTGTGATCAAGGATCTTGGTGCAAATGTGCCAGTTTCTATTGGCGAGGCGCACTTCCAGGCACCTAAGACTCCAGCACAAGAGGAATGGTTGATTGATACATCTGCTGAGAGAGTTGGTTTCTCGGCAATTGTCATTACCGCTGCTATGCACAATGGTCAAGGTCAAACATGCGCTTACCTCAAAGATGTACACGCTACTGGATACCAAGGTGCTGCTCAAGTGGAAGAGGAAGAGGACCGCGAGCCTATGCTCAGAGTGCTTTGGAAACCTGATGTGTCAATCCTTTCAAACAAAGGCTTCGCTGATTATCTCGCTACGTCTGGACACTCGCAGGAGGCCAAACTCACTGCCGCATTGGATCTCATTTCTCACAAGGATCCGGCTCTCAAGATAATAGATATAAACAGCTCAATCGAGCTCAGCAAGAAATTCTTGGATGTCCTCCGCATAGACACACCATTCAAACGATACCGCTCATATGCCAGAGGCCACTTCTCAGAGAAAAACGAACTTGTCGTCGAGAATGTCGAATCTCTTCAATCCCTTAATGAACCTAAAGCAAGCAAGGGCAAGACCCAGGGAGAGTACGATGTTGTTATTGTACCAAGCGGTTTCGAGGGCCAAGATTTTGCCACTTTCTCTCAATTGCTTGCACCAGGTGGAAAGCTCCTTATTCAATCATCCAAGTACCATTCATTCGAGGGATTCTCTACTATTGCCGACAAGACCATTGCTATCGCTACCTTACTTCTAACTGAGGTCGCCAAGATCAAGAGACGTGACATATTGGTTGTCGAGGAAGCTGCACAAAAGTCCTTCAACGACATCTTGATCAAGAACCTTTCCAAACCGCTTGGTCAGACCGTTGAGCGTGTCTCTCTCCATGACTTGACTGATGCTGCTGTCAAACCAAAATCCACCATCATCTCCACCATTGAGCTCACTCGCCCTGCCATGTCTACTTTGACTGCCGCTGAGATGGTCAAAGTCAAGGTAATGACCGATAAAGCGCTCAACCTCATCTGGCTCACTGGCGGCAACAACTTTCAGGGAGAGCGACCAGACTTCTCTCTAATTTCTGGTCTCTCTCGTGCACTCATGCTTGAACAGCCATCTTTGAAATTCATCACTCTGGATTTGGATTCTCCTCAGCAGAGTATGGACACCATGTTGACAATCAACAAATTCCTCCAGGATGCCCACCAATCTGATCCAACTGATTTCGAATTTGTGTTGCAGAGGGAGATCCTCCACGTCAGCAGAATGGTTCCAGAAGAGAACATGAACAGAACTTTCCGTGAGAAGCAAGGAGAAATTCCAAAGCTTACTTCCCTCAAGGATGCCAAGCCAGCACGTCTTGCTATTGGCACTGTTGGTCAATTTGACAGCTTGTTCTTCAAGGAGGAGAGACCTGACATCTCCCCTCTTCCCGCTGGCACACTCGAGATTGAAGTAAAGTCCGTCGGCCTGAACGCAAAGGATTTCTATGCCCTCGCAGGTAAAGTCGAGACAAAGGACGCTGGCTGCAAGCTCGAGTGCAGTGGTGTCGTTACCAGAGTCGCTAGAGAGAACATCAATCGTCTGGCTGTTGGTGATCGTGTTGTAGTCATGAGTCCAGGACACTTCTTGACTCACGAGCGCTTCCCAGAATGGGCCTGCCAAAAGCTTGAGGATAACGAGGACTTCAATGTTGTTTCCACTCTGCCAATTGCCTTCTCTACTGCTATCTATGCCCTCCACAATCGTGCCAATATCCAGGATGGCGAGTCGGTTCTCATCCATTCCGCAGCTGGTGGTTTGGGTATAGCTGCAATTCAAATCGCTCAGCTCATCAACGCCGATATCTATGCTACCGTCAGTACTGAGGCCAAAAAAGACTACCTTGTCAAGGAGTTTGGATTGAAGAGAGATCATATTTTCAATTCTCGTGACTCGTCTTTCCTCACTGACATCCTTGCTGCTACCAACGGCAGAGGTGTTGATATCGTCCTCAACTCTCTCACTGGTGATCTCTTGCACGACAGTTGGCGAGCATGTGCTCCTTTTGGAAGATTCGTTGAGGTTGGAAAACGTGATATCGTTGATGCAGGCAAGCTCGATATGGAAATGTTCACCAAGAACGTTACCTTTACTGCTTTCGATTTGAGTTTCCTCTACGACGCCTCCAACCCAAAGCTCTACCGCGTGTGGTCAAGCCTTGTCGCCGAGACCATGTCACTCTATAGACAAAAGAAGATTCGAGCAGTCGAGCCATTGAAGGTCTTTGATGTCTCAGAGATCACCCAAGCTTACCGCTACTTTGGTCTTGGTAACCGTATGGGTAAGATTGCAATCTCTCTCGAGAACAACGACTCCATGGTTCCAGTAAGTTATCCTTGATACTACCCACGTGATGTATATCTAACCATTACTTCAGACTCTACCTTCTAAATATGATTCATCTTTTAGCCCAGAGAAGACATATCTTATGATCGGATGTCTTGGTGGTCTCGGACGAAGTATATCCAAATGGATGGTGAAGAGAGGTGCCAAGAAATTCGTCTTCATCGGTCGTACCGGTACCGATAGAAAGCCTGCACGACTCCTTGTTGATGATTTGCAAGAATCCGGAGCCCATGTAGATGTGGTTCGTGGTGATGTTGGTATTTACGCAGACGTCAAGAAGGCAGTTGATCTCATCAAGGGACCAATCGGTGGTGTTGTCCAAGCAGCAATGGGTCTTGACGAGGCACTTTGGACCAGCATGTCCATCGATTACTGGCACACCGGTATCGACCCTAAGCTCGTCGGGTCATGGAATCTTTACAACGCAATTGAAGGACGTTCCAACGACCTCGATTTCTTCCTCATGACCTCTTCCGTCTCAGGAAGTGTCGGTACTGCAACCGAAGGAAACTACTGCGCAGCAAACTACTTCTTGGACGTCTTCGCTCGTTTCCTGAAGAGCAAGGGTCTCCCAGGTATCTCCATTGGTCTTGGTATGATTTCCGAAGTCGGATACCTGCATGAGAACCCTGAGATTGAAGCACTCCTGTTGAGAAAGGGTATTCAAGCTATCAACGAGGACGAACTTCTCCAAATCGTTGACATCTCAATCTCATACAAGGGAGATACAGTCTACGACAAAATGGCCGCCAGCCACGTTCTCACTGGTCTTGAGCCTCTTGGAATGAAGGCTCTCAGAAAAGCAGGATTCGCCGGTACCAACCCCACGCTCAACGACCCACGTGCCAGTCTTCTTGCCGCTGCCCTCGACAGCGAGGCAGATAGTGATTTGAAGAACAACTCTGGTCTCCCGGCTGAACTTGCAGCTGCTCTTGAGGGCGGCGGAGATATTCTCGATGCCGTCATGGGATTGATCCTCAAGAGATTCTCCAACCTGGTCTTGCTTCAAATCGACAAAATCGACGTCAAGAGATCTTTGGCTCGTTTCGGTATGGATAGTATGTTGGCAGCTGAGTTCCGTACTTGGTTCTTCCAGGCTTTCAAGGTGGATGTTCCTTTCCTTACGCTTTTGGCTGAGAGCACTACTTTGAGTGCACTTGGAGAGTTGGTTTGCCAGGAGATTGAGACGGAATAGGTTATTATTCAGGGGCTGAGATTGTCTCATTGGAGTTTATATTCTTTGGTTTTTCGGACTGGCATGTAGTTCCATATGTTGGCAATTAGACGGAAGGACTCGGAAATTGTGTTTAGATGGTTCATAAGAGTCTGTGGGTTGGCATTTCCTTCCCTCTTCATGTTTGGGATGGCTTTATAGATTTTTTAACGGGTATATCATATGAAATAAAACAAAAGTCTTCAGAATACACAAGTACAATCCCCTAAAACTCACATTCACCCTTAAACTCACATTCACCTCATTTCGTATCCATGCAAATAAAGCTGTGATTCTTTAATTACCTGGTGTCTGACCACAGAATTATGTTTGTGTCATGTCTGGCAACTACTCACCAATAAAAGTTCTTTTCCTAGGTATTTTAACAACAATTCATAGTACCCACTTAGGGCAGTTTATAAATCTCAGTCACTCTTTCTTGAGCTGAGATAATCCACGTGACCTAATGCAAACGTTAGAACCTGGCAGGACAAAAAGCCCAATGGCGACCAATTATCACAGGTAAAGAACATCAACCTTTGGCTGTAAAGACAAAAACGATAAGAGGAATCGCCCCAGCAAATGTGAAAATAACAATTGCGGTCACGTGCATTACGCACTTGCCCTCCATCCCTTGTAAAAGTCGCCTATTGCTACAGTACTAAAACTTAATTAGTATTAACCAATCGAATTCTACCGCCATAAATAGACAAGTAGAAGTTATCACCAACTGTAGAACACGTTCTAGTCTACCAGAACATGGGAGCGATCTGAATGCTCTCTCTATCATTTGAAGGAAAGGAATGGTTGATAGCCGTATTCTCAAAACTGCTATATAATAGGATCTCTATATGGGTAGGTTAAGCGGCTCCCTGTAAACAAGAAAACGTAGCAAAGAATCATTTCCTCTTTACGTGGCTGATATTAACCTATTTTATAGTATTACTTATTAATTGATATACACAAGTAACTAATATCCCTATAGCTTATCAAGTATCCCTCCTAGAAGTTCCAAATTTCAAATCATTTCGATTACATTAAATCAACTTCCTCCCTCAGATTTCCTGCAACCCTCCTTGTCTTTGGGGGCCAGAATGGTAGATTCGCTAAGCGAAAAGAAATCTCAAGCCCAAGGCGCAGATACGATCCTTAGACTACTGAAGTCTAAATTGTAGTTATACCCCTCTGTGAACTCTCTTCCAAAGAGCTAGCTGGTTCCACTGCTCATCAACTCCAGCCCAAAGCCAAGATCTTCCCACCAACTTGGATAGAGACTTTTCGTAGCGCAACCTTATGCAGTCTCCCAACTCACCGGTATCCAAACTCTCGAGACACATTTCTTTAAATTCTTTTGATAGTCCGCTGTCCCGGAGAGGATACTATACAACAGAACCTCATATATAAGACCTCCCAAATCCCCATATTTGACACTACAACACCGAAAACAAACAACAGCTATCACTCCCCACCCCCCGCCAGAAAACCAAGAACTCCTCATAATCACCTACCAAATAACCCATTCTCCCCTACATCACACGAATAACCCGCACCTTCCCCCTCTACACTCACATCAAAATCCACCAGATACCCTTTCTTCATTCTCATCCCCACATTCACGCCAACCACCGCGACGACTAGTCAATTACCCCTTCTCCCTCCTCATCCCCACACGGACACTACATCAACCCCCATACCCCGGAGTGAAACTCCGCCCCCCTCCCCACACCAAAGTTACAAGACCCAAACTCAGGCACCCAAACCCCCCTTCCCCCCCTCAAATAAAGTTAACCAAGCGAATCTGCCTACCCCACCCAAGCCACAACAAGACCACACCACGCCAAGAAAAACTCACCGAACCCACGCCACGCCACGCCACGCCACGCCACGCCACATCGAAACTTATTTTAATATTTTGAACCTAATTACCAAATTACTTTCCACGTGTAGTAAAGTACCAGTACTAGTAAACAAGTAAATCCCAGCTCACTTAACCACGTCAAACTACATGCGCTCTACCACCGTATTTAATCTAGCCACAGTATCCCTTAAATATCATATCTCCCAAACACACTAGTCCTCAAATACCATAGCGTTATCTACCCACCTGCACTTATACAAAATCCACCTACAAATCCACCTTGAATTAGTAATTAGTAATCAATACAGTACATAAATACCTACTCCTTCCTAACTAAACCAAACCAAACCAGCAACTCACCTCAACTCACCTCAACTCACCTATCATTAAAACACGATTCTTCGTTCCTTCCTCTTTGTACCTCCTTCCTCGTACCTCCTCCGAGTCTCGACTTCCGGGTAGACATTCCGAGTTCTTCAAAGAGTTGAAGATATTATAATATTTGTTGGTATAGAGATATCTAGGATATCAAGGTAAAGAAACAAGGTACAGAATAATCAGTTGTTTGTTGTCTGGGTGCCAAGGGGTAGTGTTGTTCCAGTACTAGGTATGGTACTCGAACAGGTGGGTCTAATCATGTGATATAAACAAAAAGGGTCGTATATATCCCAACAGTATTGGTTTTATACCACGACCAATAGTTTTGACGTGTACTGGAATAGGGAATAGGGAATAGGGAATAAGGAGCTTTGCATTGGATTCTTGGAGGGTTGAGATGTTTAAATGTTGAGATGTTGAGATGTTGAGTATACCGTTGCTTTATAAGTCGAGGAATATATAGTGTATGGTATATAGTATAGTTCGAGCTGCATTGTGCTATGCTATACTATAACAACGTAAAGATGTAATCTCACCATAAGTAGGCCGTGAATCTAAAGGATCGACAGTAATTGCGTATGTATATCATATAGTACATACCCTTAAATTCTCGTTTCCTGTCGTTTGGTACAAGATCTAGTGTTCAAGGAACGTCATGAATTTCTCAGTCTTCCAGTATATTATAGTGAAAGCACAGCACATCAAAATCTTTGACTGCAAAAACGAGAATTTGAAGAGTATTAATATTAAATCTCGACCAAGGTTAATCCAGAAAGGAAGAAGTCCCATCACAAGCACCGTATGTGAAATCCCACTCCCAGAAACCCCCAGTCAACCCCCCAAAAGAAAAGTAAAAAAGAAAAATCAAGGTCCCTGCACATCAGGTCTATGCCAAACAAAAACAAAAAGAAACAAAAACTCCCAGGTATCCAGTCAACCAATCCAATCCAAATCCAAATCCAAAAAGCAGAAACGATCCAAAACAAACATCCTCAAAGCAGCAGGGTCAAAAACGCCATTTCCAATGCTTTTCACGCCAAAAACAACATCCAGGGTATCTCCATTTTCTCTTCGCATCGCATCGCAGGGGTATCTATTCGCATCGTGACTTTTGTACATTCATAGAGACCAAAGGTAATCAATCATCTCTCAACTCGCAAAAAGAATCGCAGGATTTATTGGGGAGGAAAAGGGGAGGATCCTAATGGGGGCTGTGGGTGTGAGAAGGTCGGGAGTCCTCGATCCTCGAGGGATAAGCTGGAAAGTGGTGGACTGTTTAGGAACATTTCGACGATTTCATCGGCGTTTTGAACGGGTATTTGGACTCGGTCGTCCAAGGATAAGTTGGAGAGGGCGGGACTGTTTAGGAATGTTTGGACGTCGACGATAGAAGATTGGCCTTGTATCGGGACGTGGGTTTGCTGTGACAAGTTTGGCATGTCCAGACGGGGTATAGAGATTTGACCAGGACTAAGACCAGCACCAGCACCAGCACCAGCACCAGCACCAGCAGTAGCTTGAGCTTGAGCTTGCTCCAAGACGGGGCCGCCCATGGACATGCCAGAAAGTGCTGGACTCATGCTGGCACTGACAGTACGCTGAGCCAACGCTTCCATCGCAGCAGCGTCCGCAGCAGCTTGACGTAGCCTCTCCTCACGGAAACGAGCAATATTCGAGGGAAGGAACATATTTCCCAACCCGACGCCGGCCAAACGCCGCTTCATGAAATCAAGGTGTGATGCAATATCATCGTCCACAACACCAGCAGCTTCGTTTTCGGCTTTGTGTTGCATTGCGACCTCGTACAAGTTAATGAGCTCATTCTTGAGCATGCAAAGGTCGATCCTCAGAAATTCGTTTTCCTCGGAGAGGTTTGAGGACATTTCCGCCCTTGCGCAGGTCTCCTTCTTCCTCTTAACACGGCATTTGGCGGCCGCTAGACGGTTTCGTTCTCGTGCCTTCGCATTATATTCCTCTATCTCTTCTTCGCTGTTGAACACCTTGGCCTTGCGTCCCCTTTTCTTTTGTCCTGGTTTCGCTTTCTGGATTCCGGCAGAGGGAGAGGTTTTCTTCGCCTTTTTTACAGCGCCATGAGGGATTGCACCTCTCCCGTTTGCTTTCGACGCCTTCTTGATTGCTTTGGCAGGCACGGCGGCTTTCACCTCTGGGGAAGCCGAAATATTGGTGTTCAGGCTCTCATAGTAAGAGATAGATGTGTTTGGAGAAGAGCCGGCTGTGCTTGGACTGTCGGTATGGTTGGGGTAGGCGGAATAACTGCCCGTGGATTCGTCTGAAATACTGTTTTGTCCCCATTCTTGGACCAACGGAAGGTCGTCAAAAATGGCTGGGTCAATTGGGGGGAAGTCGAATGCATAGTAGAGGTCTTGTGAGAAAAGTTCCTCGCCCATGGCGAACTGTCCCCGCATAGTGTCCATGTTGGTTTGACAGTCGGGTATTGGGATTCTTTGCGCAGGGCAAGTGTTGTAAAGGAATGTCGTAACGATAAAAAGGATTTTTCGTACTGGCAAATGATTCAAACACAAAACTTTCCATTTTAAGTGACGTAGAAAATATGAAAAGATGAAAACATCAGAAGCCTGTACGACGCCTTCCCTGCCTGCATGCATGTTTAGGCGAAGAAACCGGAGTCATAGTGCATGCCACGGTATTAATTGGCTACAGTGCTATGAGGGGGGAATGGAGGGGAAAAACTTGTTAACTAGAGCAGATGGTGAAGCGAACAAACGAAGGCAAAACAGGGAGCCGAAGTGGCGGGGAGCCGGAGTCAGGTCAGAGTGTGTGAGAGTGTCCCTGCAGGAGTCGAGAGCTCGGATGGGGATGGGGATGGGGATGGGGATGGGGCTCAAAGACGGTTCACTCCATCGAGCTCCCATCGGGACGGGGACTTGGACTGAGGCTGCGCTGCCCTGAAGTTGGAGGCATCACTCGGTGAGCAGCCCTTTCCTTTCTTCCCAGATCAGACGCCCATCGAGCGGCTCAAGGTTCACGGCTCACGGTGCGGTGCGGTGCGGTGCAGTGTGGTGCGGTGCGGTGCGGTGCAGTGCGGTGCGGTGCAGTGCAGTGCTCACTCTGATAGGAAATGGAGAAGTGAGGGGTCATTGGAAAATGGGTCATTCCATGGGCATTGGTCGCGAGATGACCTGATTCCCATCCCACGCCGATTTGCAACAAAAAGTTCCATCGCATCGCTGAGCGAGGACGGGCTGTGATTGGATGCTCTGTCCACCTGCAGTGGGATCCACATATGACGCGCGAGCCCATGAGTGCCGACTGCACTGGGCGGGGGCTGGCAGGGACGGAGCTTTTGATCCGACTCCTCTACCTCTTTCTCTTCCAACCCTCGGCTGTGTACGGAGTACATGACAGACGTTTGTATAGAGGCAGGGCAGTACTTAGCGGTAAATAATTATATGGCCCTGCCCTGCCCTGCCCTGCCCTTCATGCGATTGAACCCAGAGAACGATTTACAAACATCTCCACTTTCGGCGTTTCGCGATTCGGCATGTATCGTGGAATGTCTGTCTGTACGTAAAGCAATGCCACAGAAGAGCTACAATCATCGGTTGCTAAAAGCCGATGGCCATGTCCTCGTCCTCGTCCCGTCCAAAATGCAGGCAGGCTCGCTGTGGAGAAAAGAATCAAGGAAAACTCCTACATAGACCATGTAAGACTACGGCTTCCGTACGGCGTACTCAACGCGATAGCATCGTCTCGAAATTTCCAGAAGATGGGATGGTGCAGGATGAGGACCCCGAAATCCACAGCCTGGTGATCAACTTTCTCGGTCGGGGGATCTAGACTCTTTTTGTACAGGGGCGTAGCAAAGCACGTGAGTTGCCCCTCATGACCTGTAGGTATTTTGTACGACGCAGAAGTGAAATTTGGAAATTTCAAGAAGAGGAGAGGAGTATGAATTGGAAGGGATTTGTAATGTTGAATATCAGGGCTTCGATATATGCAACGCTTGCAGTTTTCACATCACATAAACTCGTGATACTGTATCATCTCCAGGGGCGAGTGGCTAGCCTCGCTTAGCGCTTGACTATATATTCTTGATCTGGAGTACTGTACTGTAGTACACATACACAAACCCACACAGATAGCGAGGGTCCAAGTAGAAGTACGTTGATCACGTCGAATATGATACGATCTCCAGATTCCCAACGATGTGCATCGAAAAATATGGGTAAATCCCGGTTGGGACCTTCTTTTTGGGGACCAAAGATTCCTTGGAAGTTGGAAAGTGGAGTCCGTTTTCCAACTGTGCAGTCTCGTTCCGAGGATTACTCCGCACACTTGGGTGTTTTCTTGTGGAATAAGATTGCTCATTTGGGTTGTCTGCATGTGTTTTGGTCTTGATTTACTGCTTGTGGATATGATGTAAAGTACTACTTAGCCTTGAATGGAGATAGCGGAAGCGTCGCGGCTTCCCCGAGTTGGAGATCGCTTAGTTGGGTGTGGGGCTTCTTGATGGGAGATATATACGGAGTGTTAGGAATTATAGTCGTAATTATCCCACGCTTCGATAAACCAGGGAATAACTCTCCTCGTTTGACTAGATGCCCTAGAATGAATGCTATTTTCTCGGTTCACATTACTCAATCTTATAGCAAGTCATATATTTCTTAACCGAAAATCGAGAGCAAGTCATTTACTTGCAACTAGAGAGACTTATCAGAGTAGTGAGCTGCCTATGTGTGGTCTCTCTTTCCAAAGCAAGAACTGTAGATGGATAGTCAGATACAACAACGAGCGGGCAACTATCAGGCACTATTCATCTTCACGATAAAGTTGATCACGTTTATTTGCATCAGTATTTGCAGAACAGAAAATAGTTCAATTGCTCCCGAAATAGAGGAAAACGACGTCAGTGCATCCCAACCAGCACACAAAAACTTTTCTATATTACATGTTCCCCTCCGGTCGTATGCATAGGAGGGTCAATATTGGCTGTATCTCTTTCCACAGTTTGAGGACCAACAAAAACTGACTTGCGGGTTTTTCCTGTAAATCCAGAGCTGGTTGGTCGAGACTTCAGAGAGCAGTCACCTGAATTGGATGAATCAAGGCCAAAGAAATCCCCTCCCTCAGACATCAGTCTCGCAAGCTCCAGTCGTCGGGTTGTTGCAGAGATAACGCTCCTTGACGACAGTCTCTCCTTCATAAGCGAGAAACGTCTCCCTATCAACACCAGCGACCGAGTCCTTCACACCAGGTAGGCGCAGCCTCTCGCACTCTCCCAATTCCTCCATCTCCCAACCCTCCGCAACATCTTGTGGAGCATTGTTCACAGTGCCCTTGTGTATCAATTGGTACTTATAGGGCCCACAATAGTCACAAACACACGGCGCCTTCCGGCCATCCCTCGCGTACACTTCAACCTTAAAATTCGCTTCAACGCCATTGGTACTGAGTATATCCTCCAACTCCTCCTCCAGGGCAATGGCTATACCCTTCGTCCAGATAACCTCGTCTTCGAACTGTGCCAAAGGATAAGGATCCTTCTGTCCGAGCCACATGGTTTGTACGAACAGAGCGAATTCCACCAAGTGTCCGGTAATGATGCTGAAATGGCTGGAGTTCTCATACGGGTATTGGGGCTTCTTCTTCTGGTTACTGGGACGCGGTGCGGTGCCACGAGGGCGAGGTCCCATAGCCGAGTGACGGCTACTCCTCTTGTCCAAAATGATCTCGATTTGAGTCAGATTGGAGTGCAAGAGGGCAAGCGAGCGCAAAGCGGTATCATCGATTCTGAAGTAGGAGTTTTGCGAGGGAGGGTCGCTATCAGTGTCAATAAGCGGCTGCAGGATGTGGTGATCCAGCGCGAGGCGTTGGAGGTCCGTATCAACGGGAAAGCGAGAGAGAATCCGATCGAGAATAGTTCCATCATTTGCGTATATTCCAAACTCATCTTCCCGGATCCAGATGAGATCGTAGTCGTATTGGACGTAGATCGGGGTGGCGAGGGGGTTGTTGGGGAGGACATCGTAGTAACGGATGAACTCAGTACGGGTCTCCTTGTTTACATGCACTAGTGGATTGATATATTAGCTTGGGAACCGTTTGTTGAAGCCATATGTGTACTTACAAAGAACTGGGCTAGGGCTCAGCGAGACGGTGCAATCGGTCCCCTCGTCGTAGGTAATCTGGACCAATCTCTCGCACTCCTCCACCTCTCCCTGCTCCATCTCGTACACATACCACCAAATCTCTAGGCGCTTCTCTGCAGGAAGCTGAGGAAACCAGTGGAACTCAGTCAGTGGTTGCGACATTCTGGCAGTGATGTTAGTGGTGGTGGTGGTGATTGTGGTAGTGGTTGTCCGACGCAGGAAAAATTTCAACTGTATGTCAAAGAGCAAATTTATATTCACAGGACGCGCTAGGGCACGCTAGGGGACGCTAGTACGGCCGGATATCGGATGTTAAGATGCCCGTTCATGATGTTGTCAATTGTAACCAACATAACATTTTTAAGCGAGGGGTGAATCGCTTGTGTAGGTAATCGAATAATAAATGAAAGTAATATTCGCGTAAGATTTATAAAGTAAAAGTAGTACTTGAAATCTTTAATAAAGCTTTTTTTGTTTACGTATCTTAGGTAACTTGAATAACTTCTACTAATAATTACCTTTTTTCGCTTAGTTCGTTTTTATTAATTTCTTTAAAAGTCTAGGATAATAAAGTCTTTCTATTATCTAAAAGTATAGTCTAGATTTTACTATATACCAATTCTTTTTCTTGTATTATAATTATACTTATTAGTTAGAATAATCTATTTACTTAGTTACTGAAAGTTTTTAATAGATTTTTAATTTAAATAATTAATAATCTATACTTTTCTTTTCTAGTAAAGATTATTTAATACGTTAATCTAATTATTACTATTTATCTTAACTACGCGTAGTTAAAGTAAATATCTAGAAATAAAATATTATTTAAGTAATTCTTTTATAAGAATTATTCTAGAATATATAATAATTAGAAATAATATAGATTTTATAAGTATTTAAACTATATATATTTTAATGACTAATTATCTCAGCTCTTATATATTATAAAAAGGTTATCTAGTAAAGTAGTTTAACTATAATAATATATTTTGATTACGTAAGTATAAAGGAAATATCACCAGTGGGTGACAGAATTCGTGGGACAGCACAACTTCTAAATTACGTAATCAAGACACTAAAAATTACTACTATTCAAACTTTTATTACCACTTCGCAGTCTTTATAGGCTTCCCACTCGTTTTAACTAGTAATTTACATCGCCGAGGCATATCCGCTATACGGGCACGAACTTCCTCCATTGTAATCTTACTCCATTCGTCCTGAACCACCTCCTTAAGCTCCGCAATTGTATTCCATACTCTCCGACGTATTCTTTGCTTAAGGATATTCCAAAGAGCCTCTATAGGGTTGAGATCTGGGGACTGGGGAGGGTGGACAAGGTTCGTGATCCAATTAGCCCTTTTGAGTACTGATGCAAGGCTATCTGGGTTCTGTATACCATGAGACTTGTCCCCATCTTCCTGAAGAAGCCAACTACTGTTTATACATTCCTCTGTAATCCTTAGGTGTTGAATTGCGTCAATATAAAAAGGAAGAAGGCGTTCTACGTAATAGAGGCCGGTCATGGAGTTCCCTTTTGGCTTAACCTCTTTATCGTGTGCCTCGCATTCAGCCTCCCACTTTAGTATTAACTCTGCATATTCCTCGTCTGTACAGTACTTGGTTTTGCGAGGCTTCCTAGGCTTCCTAGCTTTAATAACTTCATCCTCTTCGTCGTGGTAGAACTGGAGTTTCTCGCATTTGGCATGCCAATTACACCACCCTGCGATGTGTAGCCGTACGCCCCGTTTCTCCCCCCTTTCCTGTATATATTCGGGCTTATAACGCTTCCCTTGCTCACGGAGGTAGAAGTCTTGAACGTTAGAGGTAGGATCAATATGTGCCTCGTCTGTCCAGAGAACCCTACGCCAATGGTTCTCAACTGTCTTGTACTGCCACTTCCTCCCGTATTCTGTCCGTTTCTGCCGGTTTGTATTCGAGGTTTTCTTCTTTACGTACGCAGCCTTATAGCGACGGGCCTTGTTTGTATGCCTGAGCAAAGCGCGCTGTAGAGTGCGGGCGGAACCCTTGATCTTGTGGTATTTCATTTGAGCTTCGTAGTGCTGGTTTTGGACGGGGTTTTTGGCTGGGTTGACAAGGAGTAAACAACTCTCTTTTGAGATAAGACGACGCCTCCCAAGTATATTTGACCTCTTCCGCGTCCGCCGGTATGCTGCAGACCCTATTTGAGTACGCTCTTTGAGCCATCGTGATGCCGTAGACCTGGTTACTCCCAAATCTGCCCCAATAGCCTTATGTGTTTCTGCGCCGTGCCGGGCGTCCCAGGCCTCGTAAAACCGGGTCTTTTTGGTAGTAGTAGCTTCGCGGTGGTGTATTTGACGATCTGGCGTGTCCTCTCTACTGTGAGTAGGCGTGTTAGTGTCCATTTGGACGGTTTAAAGAGTATGTTTTATTAAGGTATGATATCTAAGCATTTTTGGTGTTCTTGATTACGTAATTTAGAAGTTGTGCTGTCCCACGAATTCTGTCACCCACTGGTGTATTTAAAAACGAAATATGGTTTTAGTAGTTCTTCATAAGAATTATTCTAATATACAAAATTATTAAAACTATTATAAATCTTATAAGTATTTATACTAAATATATTTTAATATCTAATTATTTTACTTTTTATATTTTACTAAAGGTTGAATAAACCTAGTATAATTAAAAATATATAAGTTATTCTAATTACGTAAATATATAGTATATATTTAGAAAAGAAATATTATTCTTATTATTCTTTTATTAGAGTTATCTTAGAATATATAGTTGTCGGTATATAATTCTGGTGAATAGCACCTTGTACGAGAGCCTGGTGGATCTATATGCTTTAGGTCATGTGAGTGGCTTGCCACTCATATACTTAAGCTTGTAGGGTACCACCTTGTAACGAATACTCAAACTGGCTAACTAAACTTGGCTGGGTGTTCGCTGGTTGGTATGCTATGATAAGAAGAAGACTATCGGGTTGTTCACTTGGAAGTGAACTCGTTACTTGTATCAAAGATGTCAAACTAATATGATAAGATCGATAACTAAGTTGAGCACGAAGCTCCTATCTAATGGCAGACGTGCCAG